ATTTTTTATGGATTATGCTAATTATTATGAATCATAGGCAGTAAAACTTCCATAACTAGGGCAATTTTAGTGTTATAAAATTATTATGTTATCTCTCTCTCTCTCTTTCTCAATTTGTTATACAATTACATAACCTAAGGAAGGTGCTTATCGCAATAAATTATGCAGTTTGTTTTATGCTCCATCTACTTTCTTTATAATGAATAAACGTAAGAGCTGACAGAAAACATTAATACTTCTTTAAACGTCTATTAAGCGTGGATGTGACTCACAAGGCTTGTTCTATACCACGTTTGTTTATGCCGTCTGCTGTACGTCTGCTGCTTGTCAATTTCGTCTGCTCAGCAGATCTTTTCTTTGATGCAGGAGTCTCATCATTAATATTAATATATTCTTTTCAATTAAAATCGGTCAATCGATATCCTATAGTAGAAAGGCGAAACGTAAATTTACAGTGCACTACTTTTTTCATGTGTGTTGAGGTACATGGGTATATTGGCTTCTTTGCATGATCCAGTACCTAATTATTGATAAATGACAGTTTTCAAAAGTCAGCAAAGATATTTTTTTATGAACTTAAAATGCTTATATGTGTCTAACATAGTTTTGCTCGCTGTTAAAAAAATTCTACGTGTTCATCGGGATTAATATAAAGTCCTATTCTTATTAGTTGTTTTGTTTGATTCTGTAGTTAATGAACTAATGGATGAACTGTTAGTTGCCATAACAACAAGTTTTGATGACCTTGATAATAAAGACTTACAGTTAAGGTCACTTGTGAAGGTCAATATCAATGTTGTCTTGTATATACATGTATTTTGTAAGTCTTGTGTCAGTCACTCACTTTGTCATGATTTTAGGCATGCCTTAGGATCAAGGTCAAGGCCACATATTAGGGTTCAACTAGCATGATATACATTCCAGGTTTTAGAATGAATTTTTTTCTCATTATAAAGTTAAAATGCAAAAAGCAGCAGGTGCATGAAGTTCAAGGTCATGTACCAGAAAGGTCATATGTCACCTTCTAAGGTTTACATGTATAATATAATATTTCATGTTTTATAGTACTAATGATTGTTTATGACAGGAACTTTACTAAATTGCTTCTTACAGAAAACATTGTTCTGGAAAGTTCATTATGGAAAAGATTGTCATATTGTTTTATATGGTGGACCACAGACACTGTCTCCTGTTCAAGGACTTAACTATAGACAAGCAGAGAAAAATAACTGAACTTCTCATAATTTATATTGAAATTTTTAAATAAAGTACAATTTATATACCACACAACCCTGGCAGAGATACTGTTGAAATAAGTACGCTAAAGAAAGTAAATGATGTATGAATTTTAAGACGCATGATTTTAAGAATATTAATTTTTGATGTGTGTATGCACCGAATTCATCACAGCGTATGAAGAAAATGTTTTGAAAAGTTTTAGTGGTCCGCAACATTAACTATGTTGTAAAATGATTCATGCGGCGTCTTTCATCCTCGGATTGAAGATTTATTTTTTATTCATGCTTTGTTATCACTGACAACAAAGTGCAATAATCAAGATTTTTATTTTAATAAAGAAGGCTGAGAACAATGATTTATTGGGAGATGGGAGTTTTATAGTAAAGAGCGGTAAAGCTTGGGTGCCGATTGTGAGTGGCTCGTTCAGACAGAGTTACAACAAGTTTAATAGAGTGTGAACAAATTTAATACAGTAAAAGTTGGTGAAAAGAATAAGGGGCTTTAGAAGAATATATATGTATAATTTTATAGAAGAAAGTATGGGCTTGCAGTGTTTGAGAAGTTTTGAAATTTTGTGGGCACATTATAAAGCCTATCCAAGTGTATCAGAACATAAGAGAGTAGGTTTTAAAGAAGAAAAACTGGTAGCAAGCGTCTACTTGCAACAGAACAAATTTGACTTCCTGCTTAAAAAAGTCGTTGTTATATAAGTTACTGTACAAAAGACCACTATTTCAATAGTGTCATTTTGGCCCTACCAATAATGTTTTGCTGTGTCCGAATATATGTATATCACAGCAATAGAACAGTATGTTTACCAAAGACACAAAACATTATCTTGTCAAGGCTGAACATGTCATTCCATCACCCTCAGAAGGATGTGATATTAATTTAATTATACCAAACAGTTATAAAACAAGTGCCTAAAAGGTGTCTCAGCAATGGAGGTAACGGGTACAGAATAGAATAACTTAAACAGGGCACTTGGTATGTACATGATCTGAGGGCCCTAGAATTGGTAATGTCAGTTGGCCAGAACGCAATGTTACCATGTGACATTATGCATTGTTACCCTCGTAAGGCAATATAGGAAATAAATGACGTGAGGTATTATATAATAGCTGTTGTCAGGAATTATTACTCTGATGGTGGGGAAAAAAAGCTTTGTCTTTTCAATGTTTGGTTAATATCATTTAAATTAAATTACTCTCTGACGAGCACTTTGTTTTGTTTATTTAACATCCCGCAGGTCGTTTACTTTTGGAACTGCCCTTGTTATCAGAAAAATGATTCATATTCAGAATTAACATAATTTTGATGAATTACTGCGGTATATTTAATATTTATGGTTTACTGCATCTATAAACTACTTGGATTCAAAGATTCGACTAAAAGATTGCATTGTGTACGTCCTTCCCTCATTTTTGATGTTTTCGATCCATTATAATATTGTGTCATTTTTTTGTACTTAAATCGCCTTTGAAATTCAACAAGCTATGATAATCATTCCTTTTATTTACCACCTTTTGAGAAGTTTACGTATCACATTAAAGATGATTTTTATTTTTGTCTTTTTTTTTTGGTTGTTCATTCAGTTTTTGGCAAGATTTGTGATTATGGAAGACGAATGACAGATTATCCTGTGACTCATTTATTAATTTGTTGTTTTTTTCGTTAATTAACCGAGAGTCATTTTCACTTTGAATTGATGACTAAAGTCATCGTTTTAATTAAGTTTGCAGTCAGATAAGTGAGTCACAAATGCGCAGTTTTAGGACCGTATATATGTGTCAAAATTATTTTTTATTTACAAAATGTATGATTGCTGTATTTGTCACGTTTCCTTCAAAATTTGTATGCATTTTAGAATAATGCATTTAGCCGAAAACTGCATAATAAGAAAATAAGATAATGGTTTTGATGACTCAGAATGCTAAAGATAATATAATATACCAAAATGGAAGTTCCGGACTTTCCCTTATAATTTGACATAAATTCGCCTCAAAATTAAGACATGCTTACTTCATTGTTTGTTTGGTTTTATGACGCATCAACATAATTTAGGTCTTTTCGCACAGAAACAGGAAAGATGATTTGGCTAATCTTGAGTGTTACAAGCTTAGACCAGGGGTCAAAACCACCTTACCTGCTTAAGCTAAGAGATGCGTAGACTCCAGATTATCAAATCCATTAAGTCACCTTTTATGATCACGTAGGGATAAACAATGGCTGCAATTCTGATGCCTCAACCCTTAAAGGCAACCTCTCAGCCACAAGGAGAGCTTATTTCATTATCAGTCGTTTGAATGCTCAGGTGGCAGCACTGACTTGCCTATGTCATCAATTTAGAGTGAGACATGCAGACTGACTACACTTTAAATTGTTGGCTGCCTGATTTTAACATTTGAATTTCAAACCTTCTCATATAAGCTTTGAATGGACGAGAAAGACACAAATTTAGTGTGGTAATCATAAGGTAATAGATTTAGAGAATGATCTAAATAGTGGGTTTGAAATAAAGTTATGGTCCCTGTCAGTGTGAATATGACAGAAACCTAACAAATCGGAACTGACATTTTTTTTATATATTTATATAAATCTAATGAAATTTAACTTATTACATAAACTAATAGCTTGTTACTCTCGTTAAAATTATGTAATAAAATATATTAACTGAAAATACTTACTGCATTAAGTTATAGCGATTTTCATTTTATCTGGAAATCAGATTTTGATCGTCATCAGTCCCTTAAATATTTAAATCATCTCGACAAAATTTTAACTGTCGATAACATATCAAAATCACCGATTTATACATCGATAAAGGTTTCAGTGAGTCGATTTAAGCAATTTATTAAACGTTGTTATCGACATTTTTTGTATTTCAATTATGAACAGGTGCGATTCATTTATGCATTTTGAATACATTAATCCTCAAAATGTTTCGGTTACACGTTCTAGAGGATTAAACTGTAATTACGAAATTTAAAAATGTTACGTTTCCATTTATAAAAATTTTCTTACATTTTATACGTTATTACTTTTATTGGTTGTTTATGGCTAACAATAAATAAATAATGTATTACTATGTGCTTATATGCACAATTAATAAAATTTTGCGGTTTTGAGAAAGTTATTATAATTTAAAAGTGAAGATTTAGACGCAGTGCTCAAAGAGTTATCAGTATGAAACATAAATTTTCCTTTCAATACATTATGATGTCTACATTTAAACTGAAAAACTACTATCCTTAAAAACTGATATGGTCGAAATTATCAAAAAATGAGACATTTTGTTAAAAATAATGTTAGAATAAAATAAACTAGCAAGCATTAATTAATTTCAAGATAAGTTTACCATGTATTATTGGACTTGAACCATTTCTTTACTTGGATATTAACTGTTAAACTGTATGGACCTTTCCGGTGTTTACAGTTTTATGTAAATTGGCTAACTTGTTATCCATTCGCTACACTGAGATAATACAAAGTCACTGGTTGACTTGGTTTGCACAAAAGAGCACGTGCTTATGTTTGTGATACTGTTTGTAAACAGTTGACCTAGCAATGAATGGAAAAGATGTGGCTAAATTTTCCGCTACGAAAAAAACAGAAAGGTACATTACAAACTGAGTTAATACTGTCACCCAACACTATGTTGCTAAATGAACTTTAAAAAAGAAAATTATTTTGATAGTGTTCATTTCATACATGTATCATAACAATTTTGTAATTTTTTTGACAATTGTTTCTATTTTTAGAATGGGATGATACGTACCGAGCGCGATGACTTCCTCATCGAACCCGTTAACCTGTCTACGATGCACGGATCCTCGGACTTCATCGGTCAACCACACAAACTGTACAAGCGATCAATTCTTGATTCAAAACACCAGAAATATTATGAAGCACAAAAAACAGGTATGATTTTTAGCTCGACTTTTCTATGAAAAGGGGAGCTATCCTACTCGCCCCGGCGTCGGCGTCGGCGTCACACCTTGGTTAAGTTTTTCGTACCACCCCACTTTATTTCAGAAGTATTACAAGTATGGCTTTGAAACTTACCATACTTGTTCACCATCATAACCTCCATCTACAGACAAGAGTACATAACTCTGTCAAGGTTTTTGACAGAATTATGGCCCTTTTTTGACTTAGAAAGTGTATTGAGCTTGGTTAAGTTTTTTGTACCACCTCACTTTATTTCAAAACCATTGGAGGTATTGCTTTGAAACTGACCATACTTGTTTACCATCACGACCTTCATCAACAGACAACGAGGACATAACTCTGTCAAGGTTTTTGACAGAATTATGCCCCTTTTTGACTTAGAAAATACATTGAATATGGGTAAAATCCACTTATTGCCTTAACCCTTTGAGATATTGCTTTGAAAACTTTTAATGCTATTTCACATCATTACCCCCATCTGTACGCAAGAGAAGGTAACTCTGTCAAGGATTTGTTTTAAAAATTAAGGCCTTTTATCGACTTAGAATCTTGGTTAAGTTTTTAGTACCAGTCCACTTTTTGACTGAACTGTTTGAGATATTAATTTGAAAGTTGGAATACTTGTTTACAATCATGATTCCCAAACATGTCCAGGAGAAGGTAATTCTGTCAAAGATTTTATTTGAATTATGGCCCTTAACTGTCAATGTTTTGTATTATAGGCAAGCAGTGTTCAAGGGTATCACACAATTCAGTAAAATAATTCTTCACTTAATATCTTAATGCTCATGGCCATTGTTCACTTTAAAAATACAGAGATTCTTGTATTGCCTTTTACTGCAAAAACTTTTTTTATTGGCAAGCAATAAAAAAGTCGAGCGCGCTGTCTTACGGACAGCTCTTGTTACAATTATATTTACTTAATGTTTGATATAGATAGCACTGACAATTATGTGATGTTTTTACTGATAAGTTTTTTTTTCAAGTGAAATGAGGGTGGGAGGTTCCTGGGCATCACTCAAACTTTTTATTAATAAAACTTATCTAATTCAGTATTCACTTTTTTTTCCACATTTCTCGCAGTTTTATTTATCTATACAAATGCTCATTCAATCACATTATCGTCAAACTCTATGGTTGCAGTTATTTTTTTCACTCACTAAATAGCAACAGATCTTATATATTCTTAACCAGACAATGTAATCCCTTTTTGCCAAATGCTTTGATTTTAAAGGGACTTCATTCAGGTTTTTTGACATGACAAGAAATATTTTACCAATATTTGTATACCATAATTTGGTATAGTATTGGACCAATAGCTTATGTACAAATTTTCTTTTCATAAACCCTCACTGCGTTTTTCCAGAATAATCATATTTATTGTGCAAAATGCCCCTTATTTCGCTAAAGTTTGACTAAAAATTGCTGCAAAATTGATTTTTAATTTAATTTCTGGTAAATTTCATTATTATTTTTTGTAGTTTTTTTTTCTTTGCGTCACTTGATGTATATAGGAACTTCAAATTTTATGCTTTTAAGCATTTTTGTTTTGAATTCAATGGAGCTCCTTTAAACTATTTTAGCCTTCTGGTTAAGATAAAGATGCACAAATACGGTGGAATTAAAACTCAATCAAAAAAAGTAAAATAGTTTAAGGTCACTGAGCTCTATAGATAGTTCTATAATGCAGTGGACATGATTAAACATATATAAAAGGGAGATAGCAAAATGCAATTCAGAATTTCAGGGATTCTCCAACATTTTAGTCCCTACACATACCATGCAGGCCATCCTGTACTTATAACATAGGTCTCTCCGACATACGATTTCTTTTTTCCCGTCACACTAGTAATCAAAGAAAATGAATGAATAAAATTTGTTTATCTATGAGATGAAATTTCTCACCTAATACTTAAATGCAATAAAAAAACATTTTTAAACCTATTTGGAAATTATGCCTGCCTTTGCATAGAATGGCAACTAAATTATTACGCTGTATTGCATTTATTGAAAGTAATAAATTCATAGATGCAAATTTTAAGTGTAAGTGTTGAAACCTTCTCAGACCTTGATAATATTTTCATGCAGATTTGTGAATAATAAATTTGAGCCGCGTCATGACAAAACCAACATAATGGGTTTACGACCAGCATGGATCCAGCCCAGCCTGCGCATCAGCGCAGTCTGATCAGGATCCATGCTGTTCGCCATCAGTTTCTCTACTTGTAATAGGGTTGGTAAGCGAACAGCATGGATCCCGATCAGACTGCGCGGATGCGCAGGCTGGTCTGGATCCATGCTGGTCGCAAACGCACTATGTTGGTTTTGTCATGACGCGGCTCATATTTCATAGTTAACTGGAAACCGACCTCATAAATTTAATGTTGTTTTTTTATATAATTTAATTGAAGAATTAACAAGTGGTTGAACGTGAACAAAATGATAAGCGGGGATGTGTGTTCGTGAAAACGTAAAATGTGAATCATTATAAGGTGAAACGTGAATATTAATTTTTTTAAGGTTTATATATTAATATTTTATTTTTTTATACATCCTTGTTCAGGATGCTTGATCAATTTGCTAGATATGAGATGTATATGTATATTTAAATTTTCTTGATGAAAAGATTATTTTAATCTGTCAAAATGCTCAAAAACATTTTGACAAAAAATAAGGATAAACATGTTAAACAGGAAATTGTCACCTTATTGCAATAATAAATGATAAATTCAAAATAAGTTAATTCAATCTAATATTTGCAAAAATACCTTTGCCCAACAATACCAGTATGGAAAAAAAGAGAAAAATCTTGTACCCAAATATACCAGTATCATGACTAAGGCATGCAAGATGTTTCTTGTTCCAACAACCAGACAGACAATTTCTGTCAATACAGCAGACGGCATTGAAGAAGTCTACTCTCTAAATGCAGACCTGTCTATTGTACTTCTCTGAAACATCAACATTTGTTCTGATAAACTACAGATGCAAGTCATCCACATTCTACTTGCTCTGATGACCTATCTTCACCATTCTTCTCCATTCTCTCTTTGCCATTCTCTCTTCATCATTCTCTCTTTGCCATGCTGTCTTCATCATTCTCTCTTTGCCATGCTGTCTTCATCATTCTCTCTTTGCCATGCTGTCTTCATCATTCTCTCTTTGCCATGCTGTCTTCAACATGCTGTCTTCATCATTCTCTCTTTGCCATGCTGTCTTCATCATTCTCTCTTTGCCATGCTGTCTTCATCATGCTGTCTTCATCATTCTCTCTTTGCCATGCTGTCTTCATCATTCTCTCTTGCCATGCTGTCTTCAACATGCTGTCTTCATCATTCTCTCTTTGCCATGCTGTCTTCATCATTCTCTCTTTGCCATGCTGTCTTCATCATTCTCTCTTTGCCATGCTGTCTTCATCATTCTCTCTTGCCATTGCTGTCTTCATCATTCTCTCTTTGCCATGCTGTCTTCATCATTCTCTCTTTGCCATGCTGTCTTCATCATTCTCTCTTTGCCATGCTGTCTTCATCATTCTCTCTTTGCCATGCTGTCTTCATCATTCTCTCTTTGCCATGCTGTCTTCATCATTTTCTCTTTGCCATTTTCTTTTCTTCATTTTCCCTTCTCCATTCTCTCTTCTCCATTTTCTCCACACCTATCTCTTTTCACAATTCTGTCTTCACCATTCTCAGTTTGTTTGATGAACTTGCCCTGTTTGGAATTATCCCTTATAGTTCATTTCAGGTATTTTGATTGAGCCAAAAGCCTTTTGTGTTTTGCTAAAAGTTTCTTTTGATATTTCTATGTTTCTGTCTGGAAAGCAAAATTCTGTTGCAGGCAGTGGATTAATAATAAAAACTGGCAAAAAATGGTTTTTTTTTTTAACTTGTGTACAATAAAAACAAAGATAAAAGAACAAAACTCTATTTCACATTGCCAATATATTTGTTTGAATGGACAAAAAAAATTCTGGCACGGTTTTAGTTATTGACCCAAATTGCGGAATCTGTGTGACCAATAAACTGTTTTTCTGACATTATCATAACTAGGTCAAACCGGATGTTCTCTGTCAAACTTCGTACCAGACAATTCCTGTCACTAAAGCAGACGGCGTTTATTGCAGCAGACAAACTCCCGCCTTTGATACCAACCCAAATGTGAATAGAACTCCCTCTGTTCTTACAGATATACCCACGGCAATATTTCATAATTAAAATAATATCTAGTCAATGATCTGCTAACAATGTGAAAAATATACTGCACAAGAACAATGTTTTAGCGCAAACAGCTGTGCGGGGAGTTCTGTTATTGTTTCAGAAGTTTTGGCACAGTGCGGGAGTATGTAAAATATAAACAATAAAAGGTGTTATGAGGTATGGGAGATGAAATATGTATCTAGAATATTAGGTTTAATAAAATAACTGAGAGAAAAGACAGCCACCTGTCTGAATTTCATATAATCCAGTATCCTGTATCATTTATATGCATGCTTTCTTTATGGAAGCAATAAACACCACACAGTTTGTGCATTTGTCTGCAATTTTCTTATTTTATGTCTATAATCTAAATTATTGAACTAATTAACTTATTTGTTTGATTTGTTGAATAACTTTTTAGTACTGGTTCGGAAAGTATTTCAGTAATAAACAGGCTGGCTATTATCTTATAAGTGTTTCTGGAGACTGTACTGTAAACCCATTCTTCTACAAGTAATACTGCAAGTGTTGTTTCATAAATTATTCGAAATATAAGTGTAGAAAGGCAAATTGTTGTTTTATATTGTTTATTGTTTGTGTCGAGATTCAAACTTGTTGCTCCAAGGACATTAGCACTATCACTCCCCTCACTTACCTTAACCTTACCAGATACCTTAGAAATCGGAGACACACAGCGCCCAATAGTTTATCGATTATTGGCTTGAAACCACTCACCTGCCCCTATTGAATCAGTCTCTGACTACAATACTCAATAATTTTACACCATTAAGTTGACTCATTCCATGATGGACTTTTTTTTTCAATCTTATCATTTTTTAAGAAAAAGTTTCAAAATATGTACTGGCTGAACAGCATGGTCCGGTGGTATGGACGTGATCATGGTCTACATTGGTTGCAGTGGTGGAACCTGTTGCCACCATCAGATGTGGGGTTCATACCTGTATCAAAGTTTGATAGTTTTGTTTCTATTTTAGCGAAACTTTACAGATTATTTTAAATAGTAAATGGAAACTTTTAGCATCTTATCGAAATTGCTTTTTGAAATGTTTTTTCAGGTCAGAGAGATATCATTGTTGAACGTGGGGTCGATGACGACTCTGACGAGATCGAGACAGAAGAACAAAACAAAATACTCGTAGATGATGAGCAGTCTTTGGATAAAAGTTTACATTCTGTTGAAAAGCGGGCGGCATTCAAGTACAAGTTTTTACGAGAGATGAGTTCACCGAAGACAGTTGAGATGTTGGTGGTTGTAGACAAAAACATGTATCATAAGCATGGAGATGCTAATATCACGACATACACACTCACATTGTTTAATATGGTGAGTTTATTGCGTTTTGTCTTTTATGCTTTCTGAAAAACAGTTGGTTGCTGGTAACCATTGTTTTTTCTTCCGGTTATCCTGCCAACTTTACTTACTGTTTATATAGTGCCTGATATTTTTTAGATATTTGGTACATTACATGGACTACTATAATTTATGTGGGCAGGGTTTCATGTTGACTGGGTCAAAGTCAAGGTCAATTAGGCTAAAATTATTTTCCAACTCTGCGATATAGTCAGATCATGGTATTAACTTTGTTAAAGTGAGTATCTGTCAATATTTCAAATATTTTTCTTTTTCTTGCTTAATGGTTCTTGTTGAATATAAATATTAAGTTATTTTTATATACATGCATATAAGGATTTTTTTCTACATACATTTGTATATTAATATTTGTGAATAAAAAGTCGGGTGCAACAATTTATACCCAAGACCTCAAAAGAAGATAAACCCTTTTTTGTAAAGAACCATCCAATATATATGATTTAAAACATAGAATAAAATCTACAAAAGTAAAGAAAGAAGATCACCAAAATAATACTTCCCATCTCATATTCCTATCCCACAGTTAATAACTGCATATAATACAGATTTTTGGCCTGCAATTCTATAGAGAAACACAGCACATCTGCATATGAAATAAAAGTTACAATAAGTTGAAGTTGATTTGCAAAACAGTCAAAATGATTTTTCGTTCTCTCCTATGATACCTGTAAGTTAAACAGCTGAGTATCTCTTTGTTGTAAGAACGAGCTGATTCGAGCTGTCATAAATGTGTCAGAGGTTTCCTTAGAGAATTATCTACTTAACATGCCTCGAATTGCAGAAAACAAAAAAGAATTTGCAATACTTTGTTCTGATATTGTATTCGGATTATTTCTGCAATTCATTGTATATTGTCGAACCAATTATGCCTGAAAGGTATTGTGAATTGCTTTAATTGTTTTACTGATAGTTTTTACATGTTTTGTTATGCCTAGGTTACCTGTACAGATATAAATGTCTTGTACAAATATTGGGCTCATGTCTCATATATTGGGCTCATCTCTGAAGTATAAATATACCTTGTTCATATATTGGACTGAGGCTTGGGTAAAAATATACTGTTAGACTCAAGTTTCATATATTGGTGTAAATATACTTTTTACATACATAATAATTATAATATTGGGCTAGTGTTTATCTATTGGGCACTCAAGTACATAAATAGTTTTACATACATATATTGGACTCATGTTTTATATATTGGACTCATGTCTAAGGTATAAATATACTTTTTACATACATTATAAAATATTGGGCTGATGTTTTATTTATTGGGCTCGAATATTTCAGGTATAAATATACCTTTTACATATATTGGGCTCATGAGTAAAATATTGGATTCATATCTCAGGTATAAATATACATTGTCCTTTATACTCATGTCGTGCCTCACATACATGTTTATTGGGCTCATGTCCCATATAAAAAAAAACCAAGATCATTTCACAAGGTGATTAAATGACTTAAAACTGTATTACTTTTCTATTTTTCTGAAGACTTACTAGGTTTCAGGGTATTGTTATATATAAACTTGTCTTCAGGGATGGTGGTGATACTATATAATTATCTCTGTGAAATGACTTCATTAAATCAGGCAAACTGTACTAATGGTCCAGCTAGCATCATTAAAATGTAGCCAATATGAAGATGTCTCCCTCTTAAATGATACCTTTCCTATATGGTGGATGTTTTATGTCAATGTACTAATTTTGCTAGAGTAGACAAAATTAATTTTCTTGTTTTTTCTGATATCTTGGATGCCACTGACCTTTTTGAACTATATGTAATCAAATAAGCATCAAAATACAAGGATATCTGATTTGTACAGGGGGCATAGCCCTCCCCCAAATCCCAGATTATAAATAGTATTGCCAAGTGTTTTTTGATGTTCATTTTATTTTGTATCATAGGCACAAATAAAAATACTTTCCCTGTTGTCAAAATATGAAACCCCAATGTACGAGCATCTTAATATGATTTTTCTACCATTTATAATATCCCTTTCCCTCTTGTCACAATAAATAAACCCCAGAAAAAATATAGCCAATAATGGAGCATGCTCTATGTTAATCCCTGACTGTAGCCAATCAATAAGCATGCTCTATGTTAATCCCCTGACTGAAGCCAATCAATAAGCATGCTCTATGTTAATCCCCTGACTGTAGCCAATCAACAAGCAAGCTCTATGTTAATCCCTGACTGTAGCCAATCAACAAGCATGCTCTATGCTAATCCCCTGACTGTAGCCAATCAACGAGCATGCTCTATAGTTATCCCCTGACTGAAGCCAATCAATGAGCATGCTCTATGTTTATCCCCTGACTAGCCAACCAATGAGCATGCTCCATATTAATCCCTGACTGTGGCCAGTCAATAAGCATGCTCTATGTTTATCCTCTGACTGAAGCCAATCAATGAGCATGCTCCATATTAAACCCCCGACTGTAGCCAATCAAAAAGCATGCTCTATGTTAATCCCCTGACTGTAGCCAATCAACAAGCATGCTCTATGTTAATCCCCTGACTGTAGCCAATCAATAAGCATGCTCTATAGTTAATCCCACGACTGTAGCCAATCAACAAGCATGCTCTATGTTTATCCCCTGACTGTAGCCAATCAACTAGCATACTCTATGCTAATCCCCTGACTGTAGCCAATCAACAAGCATGCTCTATGTTAATCCCCTGACTGTAGCCAATCAACAAGCATTCTCTATGTTAATCCCCTGACTGTAGCCAATCAAAGAGCATGCTCTATGTTAATCCCCTGACTGTAGCCAATCAATGAGCATACACTATGTTTATCCCCTGACTAGCCAATCAAGGAGCATGCTCCATATTAATCCCCTGACTGTAGCCAATCAACAAGCATGCTCTATGTTAATCCCCTGACTGTAGCCAATCAACGAGCATCCTCTATGATAAGCCCTGACTGTAGCCAATCATCAAGCATGCACTATGTTTATCCCCTGACTGTAGCCAATCAACAAGCTTGCTCTATGTTAATCCCCTGACTGTAGCCAATCAACAAGCATGCACTATGTTTATACCTGACAGAAGATGCGATAATTGGATTTCAGGTACATGTAACTAATACCTGCACTCCAATTAACCCATTGAGCATTTATGGGAATATGATTAATCTTAACCTCTATGCTCCCTCTGTATTTATTTTTCAATGTTTTCTTTTTTGCAGTTGTCACAATTATTCAAAGATGGTTCCCTTGGTAACAAGATAGATGTTGTGCTAGTAGGTCTTATACTACTGGAAGGAGACGAGGTACATTTGTTTAGTTTTAGACTATTTAACTGTGACCTGAAGTTGATTCACCTTTGCCACCAGCATTATGAGCCAAGCCAGCCTGGCAAACCTGTGCACTCTGACCAGGCTCGCTACTGTTGGCAGACCAACTTTAAATTTTCATCTTGAAATCCCTGAAATTGATAATGATCCTTTCCAAAATGGAAGCTTGACAAGTCCATTTAAGAAATTTAGGGGGTTAAAGTTTTAAGTAGCTGACAATGTGTATGTGATTGCATTGATGCTTCTGTCATTTGAAACACTTAATAGACAAATAGCATGGATCCTCTAAGAATGTGCTTTAAATATAAAAAGCTATGTTAAAAGCAAAGCAAAGAGTTCTTTTTTAGGAACGAAATCAATTCTGCCAGTGGTCATTTTCAAAATTTAAAATATTTTGCATATTTCTATATAAACATTTTTACATAGACCTAGATATAAAAATATGCTACATGTACTTTTAAGTTGTAACAATTAAAATACATGCATTCTGTGATATGAAACAACATTTTTTTAATGACATTTTTATGCTTATAGTAAAATGTGACTTGTCTTAGGGACAAGTTGAAAACTTAATATCCAGTTAAATAAAATTGGTTACCAAATTAGGAAGACTTGGGATTTCTTACATTAATTACAGTAAGATCATATGCATTTAACAATATTTACACTTCATACACGTAAATGGGTCTAAAACCAAGAAAAGCAAATGAAATCTGGGTTAATAGAATAAACTTTATTATGTCTTTAGTTATAAATCTTTTTGATTTAGTAGACATATCAGTCATTTTCTGGTAATAAAGTTAGCTAAAGCCACCTGACGTGTGTACTGAAATATCCAAAATTATTGTGGGGGATAAATTTTTGACCGCCCACATGGCAGCAATGGCTACCTAGAGTTACTAGCAGCTATAGGGTGGTCTTTAAGTCTGATATTTGTTTACCTGTGAACATTTTGATTTTAGGTCTTTTTCAAGGGAAGATAACTCATAATTGTGCCAAGCAACACCTTCTTTTATTTTAAATTTGTGTTTGTTAGTGTACTCCCAATAATGTGCAAACTTTGCTGAAATTCTATTTTACAGATTCATTCTAAAGTTGCTTGTGGAAAATGATAGAATTTCTTTTTTTTGGAGTTATGCCCCTCTTTGAAGTATAATTTTTCATTGAAGCATTGCAAAATACATTTTAGACATAATTGTTTTAAACTTTGCATATTGACTGAAAATGAAATGACAGAACATAATTTGAAATAAAATAAAGTATTGGTAAGCTTGATTTGCTCCTGAAATTGACATAAAATAGTAAAAAAATAGGAGCAGATAACTCAAAATGGAACATGGTGACCCTTATTTTTTCATCAATTTGTTTCAATTCATGATTCTTTTTAATCATACAAAGTTAAAGAAAATTCTCTATGCTAGTTTAAATTTCCCTTTTTTGCCTTTGTATGTTAATGACTAAAATTTTCAGTTAGAGTTATGTACTTTATTATGTTTTTTCAAAAAAGATATGTACAAATGACTTTTTGGAGCAATTGTGTAACAATTCGCTACAATTCCTGCAATGCCAAACAATCATTACTCTTTCTTCGCATCATACGAGATACGGCTGTTTTACGACCAAGCCGTTATTGCAAACCCAATTTCGGTTAAATTTGGGAAATAGTTCCATATATATTTTTTATTTATGTTCTTCTGATTACAGACAACCAAATATCTCTCTATACCCTTTAAAAGTTCCAGCCTCATTCTATCAAAGTAACATTTAAGCTGAAAAAAATCCTATTAAAGTTTCACCTTGAGAGACTATATTATAACACAAAAATTATAAGTCTAGATAAATTGTCTCACTTTACAGTACATTTTGTAATGTCACCACCATTCCAAATATTTCTTCTGTCAGATAGTTTTTTCTTGTGTTTAAAGGTATTAAATAAATAACAAGCTTTAATGAGTGAGATAAAATGTATTTAAGACATTATTTTGTAACCCTTTGTTATATAAGTAACAATGATTTTGACAAGACGTTTTAAAGCAATAAATGCTTTAATGAAGTACATGTAGGACCATGATCTTTTTTTTCTGAGTTACTCCATCAAGAAAATTTCTTCAACAAAGTTTCAAAATTAAGTAGAGTCAACTGAAGTGATTTTGAAATAAGATATATGTAATGAAAATTGTGATAAAGTATACCTTTTACAACGTTATGGTTTCTTAGTAACTAACGATTGTAGGGTATCTAACAACTTTCAAAGTTTAAAATTGAAATTAATTGTAAGAAAGTTTGATTTTTTCACCTATAAAGTGTGATTAAGGTACCTTAAAAGATGTTTCGAAATTTCGAAATTTTTACGACTGTATAAAATGTGACAAAATTTACGAGCCTATAATATTATGAACATTGAATTTACAACACGGTTACCTGGGGGTACGTTCACGATGCGACGTTTATTGTCATAAGGCAGACAGATTATCCCGTATAAGATGTTTTTTAAAATAAACCTGTCATTTCGAGCATTTATGAACTATTTCATATTTCGGGCCGAACTGTAAGTCATTTGAAATACGCATTAAATCAAACGATCTTTATATAAGATTATGATCACAAAATCTGATTTCGAAACATACAAAATGTTTTTGTGATGGGTTTTATTTATACACATTGAACTGTTTGTCGGGGGCCACGATATGTTATTCTTTAATAAATATGTCTCATGCGTTATAAATTTGTAACTTTTTCGCTAAATTTGATGTTATAAATACAAAAGATAAATTGTTTGCCAAAAAAATTTAATAGCTGGGTATAACTTTCCAAAAGTCATCTATGCAATTTACTTTGTAAATGAATGATATTAAGAACATATTTTTTGCATTTCTGGAATATTTTTAGGGTGAAAAAATCTGTAAATGCACGCACTGGGAAGTCATCAAATTTGATGTCAATGAGTTTTGCGGTTTGGCCAAAATGTTTCCATTGTATCATATTGAATAAGTTAAATGTCAAGTTCTTGGAAAAGAAATTTATTTTCAGGTGCAATTTTATGAAACATGTAGATTCACACACAATATGTAATTGATACATAATGTATTTATTAAAATTCTGGTTATAGTTTTATTGAAATTTGGCAAAAAAGTTTGTTTGAATACCATGTTTAAAATTGTATGTTTTGAAGGATTGTTTCAGTTGTTTATTCCCTTAACCCCCACCCTGCTGAATTTCTTAAATGAACTTGTCCAACTTCCATTTTAGGGACTGTTCATTATCAATTTTAGGGATATCAGGATGAAAGTTTGGAGTTGGTAATAACTAGGGCCTGGTCATACTGCACAGATGTGCAGACTTGCCCAGGATCAGTTTTTAAACAGTCCATAAATTTAGTGATAACACAATGAAGATTTGGACGTTGGTCAGACAACACTATAGAGTCTGTTTAGACTGTCGAATCATACAGACTGTCCTGCCTCTGTTTAAAGAGACAAAGTGTTTTCAGTCTCGTTTTCAGCATCGGAAGGTTTAAAAATTCTTAGAAACAATTGTCTTAGGTTGCTCATTTAAAGTACTTTTAATAAAGCATTGCTGAAATTAAACAATTAAATTTCTTATATATTACAAATTTAAAACGTACTTTAATAGTTTATCTTATTCCAGATGAGTCGCATTTATGTAATCATTTTTTCACCTACATAAGCATCTATTGTATTTTTCAGCGTGGATTAACCATAGACTACAATGCAGATGATACTTTAAACAGTTTCTGTCAGTGGCAGTCAGTCCTGGTCGGAGCAAATGGCCGTCAACATGACCATGCTATACTACTGACTGGCCTTGACCTTTGCTCATATAAGAACTCCCCTTGTGATACCCTTGGTGAGTTAAAAATAAATATATACAGAAAAATCACATAAAAAATCAGCTCAATGCAGCGGGGACTCAAACCATGGGTCTCTGGATTGCCGGTCTAGTATGCTTACCACTACACCACAATGACCATTGCGTTTCGCTAACTGACCTTATACATTTGAGTTATTTTTAACTTTATTGTGACGTAATCACTTATACTACCATTGTTCGAGTCCCAACTTAGACGTGCAGCTTTTTCCTGTGATTTTTCTGTGTATATGAATATATATAATATACAGAGAGACATCTGAGGTTTTCCCCCACATAGACCAAATTATACAGCCAGAATATTGCCATATGACATTTTACGTAGGCAGTGTGATTCAAACGCCAACTACAAACACCAGGCATTAAGTATCCTATTTTGAGGAGAAATTGGTTGATTCTCATTGCAATTGTCATTAATGAATGGATGCTATGAAAGAAGAATTTTCTCCCATCAAGACCAGATGTTTTCAAAAATTAATCTTATTGCAATAAATATCTTCCTTATTTCTTATTGCAGTGTACTCAATAAAATATATTTATTTCATTTATATTGATATATATATTTAGGATACAGGAAATTCATCGTGTTACTGGAATTCATTTTTGTCCTCACGAAATTGTCATTTTTGTAATCAAATATACCCAGAATGCAACATATTGTACTGTTATTTTCTTTCAGGTGTTATCTTGGCAAGAATAGCTCCTGTTTTTATAATGTTTTTTGTTTTGTTTTATTTTTTTACTGCAATTACAGTGGAAATACAGTTACAATGTTATTGCAGTTGCACCGATTTTTTTTTGCTATAACATTGTTACTAAGCCCCTAGCACATTCTGATTTTAAAGACACTCTATAAACTAAAGCAAAAAAAACTCTTAAAAGTTTGGCAAACTGGATTATATCTTTTGTTAATTAATTCCTTATTCTATAAAATATGTAACATTTTTTTTAGGGTTTGCGCCAATGGAAGGAATGTGCAACAGAGTTCGCAGCTGCACAGTGAATGAGGATACGGGACTGTCAACGGCTTTTACCATAGCTCATGAAGTTGGACACAAGTAAGAAAACTACAGAAACTTTTGATTTTAACTTTTTTGCACTTTCTCGTCATCGAGTTCATTTAAGTGCAAATATCTCAAGTTTCCGGTATCAAAGGGACATTACTAGGGTTGCCAAAATTAAAAGTTTGGCTGGATTGTCCTATCTTGGTTATACTTTGATATAATCATGAGGAAACATAACATATGTCTTTCAGATCTCAGTTTATTTGATATATTTAACCAAAAATTATGCATAATTTTGAGTGTGTTTTAGTAGAATAAATCAATGTTTGAGTTCAGATTAGCAGTAAGTATAGACATGAGGGCTGATAGGCCCTGAGTTACGTGTATAAATCACAATGCATTTGGACAATAAATCATTCATTATTGTACTATATTGCAAAAAAAAAATTGATGTCTATTTCCATTATTACTTGCTTGTGCTAGACTACATTGAGCGGAGAAGTAATTTTAGTGAAGTCATTTGACTTACAGATCAGATGACATATCCTTTCCACAGCATAAATAATAATAGTAATAATGCACCTCAATTTAATAAAGAAATAGTATATATATTATATTAGAATACAAAATACAAAGTCATAATAATACTATTATGTTAATAATTATCATTATAATTATAGTCAAACATGTTTCAGACCACCTTTTGAATATATAAAGACCACTCTTTCGCAAACCTTCATTAATAAAAATACAAGATAGTAAACTTCAAACAAAGACCTCTTGTCTACAAAGGCCTTGTACGGTCTTTTCTTTGGGTGGCTTTGATTCACTGGTTTGACTGTATCTACTATCTTGTGGTTAACATATTTACAAAAGAATTGTTACACTTTAAGCAATATGGATAATGCAATGCTTTTTTATGCTTTGCTTTAAAGTTTTGGAATGTTCCATGATGGGGAAGGCAACTATTGCACTGAATCTGCAGGGAAGATTATGTCACCCACCCTTATGGGTAAAGATGGACAGTTCCACTGGTCAGTCTGCAGTAAAGCCTACCTTATGAGATTTCTGAAGTAAGTATTACACAAGTCAAGATTTTGTCCTTCAAAATACTGCTTTTTACAGCGTCTTAACTGTATAATTTCACAGAAGAAAATAGTTATTTCTGTTAATTGACAAGAAGCATCATTCAAATGAAATTTGTTCATATAGTTATGGCTGTGCTGAAGTATTATTGCTTAGTCTGAACAGATGTAATAGTTTTAACAACATTAATCCATGACTGATTTAAGTCAACATGTAGCACATAGTTCTTTCTTGACCATTTTGTAATAAAGAATAAAATTATGAATAAAATAAGAGTAAAATTATAATTTAAACATATTCCAAATTGAAGAATCTCTAATTTGAATCTAATTATTCAAGCCTATTTCAAGCCTTTATTGGCTCTATCTTAATGCAATGCCACAGAAAAAATAATTGTGGAAAAGAAACTTTTAGGATAATTAATTTGATTTACATTCTACTTTTTCCACAGTACTCCACAGTCAGACTGCCTAGATGACGAGCCAAAACAAGTAGCGGAACTTAAATTTCCAAACAAGCTTCCAGGCGAGTTATACAATGCAGATATTCAATGTAAATGGCAGTTTGGGAGCCGTGCTCGACTTTGTACTTACGACTTTGGAAAAGTAAGCATCTGCTGCATATTCTTTTAAACATTTTTTGTTTTCATGTATTTACAATATCTATTCCAATTATCTTTGAAAAATGATTAAAAATGATGTAGACGATTTTATTTAGATCTATTCCTGTTGTTAAATTTGATATTTATTTTGTTTTGAAGTTTGTTATACATGAGAACAATAGCTTGACTCTAATCCTGCTGGCAGCAACAAATTCTACCCATACAACCAGTGCAGATCAAGGTTATTTGGCACATTTATGCCATCTTATCATAGTTTGCACTGTTTACTATTCAGTCAATTCATATTTTTAAATTTTCACTAAAAATGATGAATGGTTTTGTCCATATTGAAAGATGGACAATTTCAATTAAGATATTTAGTGTTGTATTGAGGGTTAAAGAGTCGCCTAAATGTCAAGATTGACACCTTGTTGCTGCAGATGTCTTTAGATTTCATAGATGTTGTAAATGTACCAAAAATACAGGCTACATTGTTAAAAGATGTGTATACTATCCACAATAATTATTATATGAAGATTGTACCCACATTTATCTTACAGGATATTTGCAAGGCACTGTGGTGTTACCGTGGCAACAAAAGATGTGAAACAAAATTCTTACCAGCAGCAGAAGGGACATCATGTGGCACTGGAAAGGTAAAGTCAAAATACTGTTTATAAGTCTCTTAGATATCAATAAGACCATTATTCATTTTGAACAGAGTCTAAGACATAAAAAATCTAATGATTAACACACTTAAGTGTAGGTCCCTAACAAAAACTGTTTAGTTTATACAGAATTTATTTAAGTTTAATTGTGTAGGAAGCTATAAGCTTATAGACACCCACTGAAATTTTGTTCCTGGAACCGACCATTACTGAGCAGTGAGTCTCAAGGAAACAACAGCTAGCCCCTGAGAGGGTTTGAAACCACATGTCTAGCCATCCTTAGACTTCTAGTCCGATGCTTTAACCACACTTTGAAACAATGTTTAATGAGGCTAAGTGAAAACAATACAGTCGAACCTGTACTGAGAGTCACCACTCTTTTCCACAGTCACCTGTCCTTGACAAAAATAACTCTATTTTATACATCTGTTCAGTGGTCACTCTTAATTTTTATTTCACATGAGGTGAGAATCAATTGAATTTGTTTTATAACACGCCTCTTGGAAGGATCAATGAAATGTGAAATACAATGTATTCATCTAAAATGATGCACTCTTGGGAGTAACTTTCTGTACTGTTTTTTTTACACTTACCAGTGGTGTCGGCAAGGTAAATGCGTTGACTATGGCAATGAGGGTCCAAAACCTATTGATGGCGGTTGGTCAAGTTGGTCAGAATGGTCCGAGTGTTCCCGAACATGTGGCGGGGGTGTCATTACACGTGAGAGAGAATGTTCGAGACCATTGTAAGTATGATATGTATCACAAAGTTTTTGTCTTTTAAACAAGTTTTAAAATTTACCACGCTTAAAATCTTAAAAGGATTTGCCCATCTTTGATTTTAGACAAAACCATTGATCATTTTTAAAGAAAATTCCAAGATATATACTGACTGAATTTCTCAGAGCTCAGACCCTAAGCATTCATCCATATTTATCTTTTCTATCTAATTAAATATTTTAACAGTGAGAATAGTTGTGTACTATTTTAAATGATCGCAGCCTGAAATGCGAGTGTAGAGCCAATTACGTTGTTTAATTTTATGATAAAATCATTTTTCATTGTATTTTAGACCACAATATGGAGGTAAAGCTTGTTTGGGTGAGGACAAAGTTTTTAAGATGTGTAACGTTATAGACTGCCCAGTGGATGCTGATGATTTTCACACAGCCCAGTGTGCCACCTATAATAAACAGCCTTTCCAGGGATGGTATTTGCAATGGAAACCACAAAAACTTTACAATAATGGTAAATGCTTTGTGTACATTATTGGTAAACTTTTTTATAGTGCAAATTGTAGAATGCCATAATGTCCAATTTGTTTTCCTTTTTATCAAAATGGTTATAAGAACAAGAGCACCACATGCGTGCAGTGTTAATGCTTGTCTGTTAAAATCTAAGTAAAAAGGGGTATAACTCCAAAATTATTGCTTTTATAATTATGCCCCTTGTTTAACAACTGCACCTTGTCAAGATTAGCAAATATTCCAAGTTTCATGTTCATAACTTTTAAAATGTTTGAGTAATTGACTACATTTGTTGAATAACGATGACGACAACAACTACATCCATGCGAAATAATTTGTAGCTTGAATTTTTCTTTGAAACAGACAAGCTAAAAAGAATTAATGTAAAATGAAAGTAGTTCTTAGTTTATTTTTTATAAATGGATATATGATGAATTAATGGTTTATAATTTTTGTATGTTATTGTAGAGAATGAGCCGTGTAAGTTACATTGTATAGCAGACACCCCAGATTATGTGTTCACAATCAAACATACAGCCACAGATGGCATGGAATGTGGTATTGACAAGAAGAAAATATGTGTACAGGGTGAATGTCAGGTAAGTTCGTAACTATGACATTTCTTTTAACTCATTCCATGTTTAATGAGTATAATGGGCTTGTCCTTCATTCAATCTGGCTGTCGTTTTAACACAGTTTATTCATAAAGTGCGCTAAAATGATGCCAATGTATAGAATCCGACTCATCTGGCACCCTCTTTGCAAGGTGAAATTCACGGCATGGGTAAAAGTAATGGAAACACCACTGTGATATGCTAGAAAACAGGACTGAAGTGAAAATAAGACATTTCAAAGTATCTTTTTAAAAGTTTTATTTATACTGTATGTTTTTAAAAAAAAAGACTTTCTTGTATGATTTGTTAGTGATTTTCATATGACTTGTTTATAGACACCTGTGTAAAAGGATGATATCATATGAGCTTAGACAACTTCTCTAAGTCCTTCCTGAGCCATGGACTTTGTGACGCAGCAGGTCAAGGTCAAGTCATCCTAAGACCTAAGTATAAGGAATGATTAGCTGATAGTAACTCAGAAAGGTGTTGTTCTGCAACACAGATGCCTTGGAAGTTTAGTTAAACTTCAATACCACAAACAAATGGAAAATAGGACGTAGGTAGAGCGGCATAAAAAATGTCGTCATTGCAGCTACAATGACTGGCAAGGATGCCGTAGGTCTCCGACATAATTTTATGGTTAATTCCGGTGCCAAGTATAGATAAAAAGAAAAAAAAGCTTAGACAAATCCAAGTCTGTACTCTCAATGCCTAAAAGGATGTATGGCCCCTCCTTAAGCCAAGAATACATGTATATACAAAGCTTAGACTGGTGTTAATAATATTGTATGTAATAGATATCCAATATTTATAAAATTAATTCTTTGAATGTTATATAATTCTGAGATAAATATTTTTAGCCTGTTGGATGTGACTGGGTGGTTGGCTCCACGTTACATGATGACATGTGCGGTGTGTGCGACGGGGACAACTCAACATGTAGACTTATACGAGGGGAGTACCTGGAACAGCCTAAATTAAATAGTAAGCTGCTTTCCTTCATTTTGAGATGTTTGCTGGTGATTTTTGTAAGATATCACTGTAGTGTAGTATATGATTTAATAGGAGTTAACCCGTTACTGCACTAAAGTGACAATTAAAATACCGGTAATTATAACACTATCTTGGATATTTTTCATGTCCAGGTGAAAATTGTCTGTTTTTTGTGTCACACAACCCAAGTTATAGAAATATTAATGTCACAAAATTCCTATCATAAGGTTACACACGTATGTCTTGAAATCGGGTCAGTATAAATCATGCAAATTTTTTATATGAAACCTATTCAATTTCAATATTCTTCATCTATATTTACCGGTATACCATTGAAAATTTTACAATAAGAGATTATAAAACTTTTGTTTCAAATTCTGTACAATAGAAATAAGAAAATTTTATATAATAATTTTTCAAGGTATAGCTCTTATTAAAGTCGTATATTTTATTTGTACATTCCCAGTTCTGAGAAAGCCAGATTTAGTAAAATTTTATGATCCTCGAAAAAGAGTGGGTTGATTGATAGGCACAAAGTTTCCTTTTATTTTCTTCATATGACACTAACTTGTGCTGGAAAAAGCTTTCTTTACAATTGAGCTAAAATAATAATGATAAAAAATGGTTTAATTTATTTTATTTTCAGCATATTTTCCTGTAACCATTCTACCAAAGTTAGCAAGGTCAATACGTATCCGGGAAAAATCATTGTCCTCAAATTACCTGGCTGTTAGGAATGTGTTTGGCAAATATTACCTGAACGGACATCAACGAGTGGCATGGCCAGGTACCTACACACTTGGAGGTGCCAAGTTCAAGTATAACCGCTCCTACAATGTACCAGAAACCCTTGAAGCTGAGGGACCATTGGAGCAGGAACTAGTCTTAGAGGTGTGTGTAAATTGAAGTATGGCCTAGTGACTGAGGTGTCTGTAAACTCTTAAAGTGTGGCCTAATGGCTAAGGTGTCTATTAACTTTTGGAATGTGGCTTAGTGACTGAGGTGTCTGTAAACTCTTGAAGTGTGGCCTAGTGGCTTAGGTGTCTGTAAATTCTTGAAGTGTGGCCTAGTGGCTTAGGTGTATGTTACACTTAAAGTGTGGCCTAGTGGCTAAGGTGTCTTTAAACTTTTGGAATGTGGCCTAGTGGCTTAGGTGTCTGTTAACACTTAAAGTGTGGCCTAGTGGCTTAGGTGTCTGTAAACTCTTGAGGTGTGGCCTATTGGCTAAGGTGTCTGTAAACTTTTGAAATGTGGCAAACTGACTGAGATGTATGTAAATTTTAGAAATGTGGCCTAGTGGCTAAGATGTCTATATTTTTTGGTGAGATGATAATTTTATTATTGATAATATCTTATACTTTATAATTTTTTTTTTTCAAAACTGACTTCAACAAATTAAACTTATTTTCAGATTTTAGTTCAAGACAACAATCCTGGTATAGAGTATGAGTACACATTACCTAAGCTGGCTAGTGAAATAGTTTCAACTCCGACACCTGATAACTATACATGGAGTCTCTCTGTTGAGTCTTGCTCGGAACTCTGTGCCGGAGGTACATATCTTATTGGTATATGAAAATAGGCGTAGCTTACATGTTTATCTTTAATCTGAATAGCAGTTATATAGATGGTCATCTTTTTAGTTAACACATTGTTGGCATGGAAATTTTTTTAATAGATTGTGGGAAATTTTAGGATCATGTTAAAAATCTCGCTGGTTTAACTCTGGTGTCTTCTATATACCTGAAATAAGGCATGAAGGAAAGGGAATTCCTAGATGGCCTATATGTCAAAATAATAAACAAGATTTAATTTTTTTATCCTTGATGTGTAATGTTGCTTGACATGTATATTTATATATTCATATATATGTATGTTTAATGAAGTACCAATTTTTAATTAATTGTATATTATTGTAAACAAATCATTAATGTTGTTGTTTTGTTATAAAGGTATGAAGTCAGTGACAGCCATATGTCATCGTAACTTTGAGGAGGAGGTGGAGTCAAGCTTTTGTGAGGGTCTAGAAAAACCTAAAACAGGAATGTTTCCTTGTAACGAACAGCCATGTGAACCTAGGTACGTAATTTTAATGAGATGAAGTCAAAGTCCCCGCTGCTAAGCCAAAGCGTTAGCAGCAAGGAGTTTATGGGTCATTAAGGGACTCTGTATTTCCAGTGTCTGTAAGGGTTAATTGACCTTCATTAAAGGGGATTGGTCTACAACAGTCACATGTTTAATAAGTATTTCTAATATTAATAAAAACAATCAATCAAATAATCTTTATTCAGCAATCGGCATGAATATTCTTTTGGTCATTTACAAGTACAAAAAATGTACATATTTATAGAATATGGCCAAGACAAAATAGTAATATCTATGTACAATAATAATGATAACAATATAAATGTATCATTTGGATATTCTTATAAAATTGAATTATTGCTTGAAATAAATTTTTGATATAGTTCTAAGTGATTTAGTATGAACGTTTAAATATGATGAATACTGTATGAATATATGTTATATCAGATCATGTATCTCACAATTGTACAGTGGCACAAAGGTGACATGTGTGTGTGTTTTTATTTATCTCGTGGCCACGATACTATGTCGTGGCCACGAGTTACTAAGTCGTGGCCACGAGTTACTAAGTCGTGGCCACGAGATAGCTAAGTCGTGGCCACGAGATACTATGTTGTGGCCACGAGTTACTAAGTCGACATAGTATCTCGTGGCCACGAGATAAATAAAAACACACACATGTCACCTTTGTGCCACTGTACAATTGCCAACAGTATTCATATATATTTATTTTGTGGTTTAGTAACGCAATAGAAATATGGCGATAAATCCTGCAAAATCAGTCAGGAATCGCAAATAACTTGTAAATTATTGCTTGAATCTTTTTACTTTTCTCAAGTTTTTTCTTAAATTTTATTCTCTTGAAATATTTTGACTTATCTGGAGGCATGCAGCTTTAATGGAAGTTAACATAAAGTAGTCTTCGAAATTAAAATAACTCAGAATAGTGTTTAATGTTCAGAGATAGGAAATATGATAGCAATTTCTCTGAATGAAATACAGAATAATTGTTCGCCTATTCTCAAAATAGATTTCACTCGGGTTACAAACTGTCACAGTCATGTAATCACCTTGAATAAACGATTCAATGAAAGTTATAAACCACGACAAGACAGTTTCATTGGAAATTATTTTATATATATGATATGTGGTAAAGAAATAATGAAAATGTCTGAAAGAGGAAAATCATGTGTGTTTAGAAACTAATAAAGCTCTGTTCATTGGATTTTCTTTACTTTAAATGTATCTTTATCTTCAATAAACTTCACAGTTTATTTATTTTCTTATTGAAATCCACTAATTTAAATCCAGACCAATTTACATATTGTTTTATTTTAGTGAAATGTTGGCCGAGAATAAATTTTGATTAAATGTTGTTCAATTTATAACGAGGAAATAATATGCAAGTTATTGCCGTGACACGTGTATATAAACAATGAAGCTCTAAAACTTGAATGATTTTTTTCCCCCTTAATCTTTAGCAATGAAAAGCATAGGATTTCACCCATGTTGCATATTAAATATCAGATTACCAGACTGTTCAGTCGGGAGATATATAGAATTTTTATCGTCTTTAGTAAATTAAAAATGCTTAGTCTTCAAGATGAAAAAATAAGCTTGTCAAAGAAAATGTCAAACATTCACAGTTTTCTATTTTTTCAGATGGGTGACAGAGGACTGGAGACCGTGTACTAAAATGTGCGGAGGCGGGAAACAGAAACGACGAGTCCGTTGCCGGCAGAAGCTCTCACGAACTAAAGATAAGAAATTAAAACGTAAGATGTGCAAGCACCTGCAAAAGCCGGTTACGAGACAGAGATGTAATGAACAAGAATGTCCACCTGACTGGCATGCTGCAGACTGGACAAAGGTTTGAAAAATGACTTTAAAGGCACATTATGCCTCAGAAATGAATAAATTTTTCCATCACATGAGTATTAATATCTTTAAATAATGTTTTTAAACCATTTTATATACTCATCGCGTGCAGAAAGGAGCAATAAATGTGAAATTATTTTACATAAAAGTAGAAAATGGTAACCAAAGTAGTATTTTGACTTCTATACAATATAACAAATCACTATAACTACACTAATTAACAAAAGCAACAGAAGTAAAAGATGGTTCAGGTACTAGGCCAATGAGTAAAATTATGCAAACTGTATTCGGACATTAGAAATAAAAAGCTTTTGAGAAATAAACTTTAAAGCATTTCTTGGGCATAATGGGCCTTTAAAGGAGCACCACTGAGGTCAAATAGCCAAAAAACATGAATTTTTTACATAGATCAAGTGAAGCATTTTAGATTGAAAAATCTGCAAAGGATATTAATGAAATATGCTCTGAATTAAAATGGATATCGTTTATGTGTGATTCTTAGCCTGATTTGAGTGAAAACCCTTTTCATTTTGCAGTTATTTTGCTCAATAAAAATGATTAATCTTGAAAAATAGGATGAGAATGATTTGAAAATTTGCACACAACTTATAAGATTTCATATATCTAATAAAACACATTATTTCATTGATTACAGTAGTTTCTGCAGCCAATGATTTATGTTACATTCTCATTTTATTTAGTGCTCGGTGTCTTGCGGCTTAGGAACACAGGTTAGAAAAGTGACATGCCGTAGTGCAAAAGGACGAAAGATACTACCAGAAAGCATGTGTCATACAAATGCACCAATCACAACACAGACGTGTGAAGTACGACCTTGTAATGGCCTTGAGAAAAGTGCTCGCAAGCTAGAAACTTCTTGTTCAGGGGAAGATTGTGGAACCAGGTAAGAAAAAATAATACAGTTATATAAATTCCTATATTATTAATAATATTATTTAATAAATTTTTTGATAGGCAGTATACAACAGTGACCCTTTGTAGAGCTTTTCATTGGTTGAAATGCTGTTAAAAATGGTTCTAACAAAATATTGTCTTTATATGGAAATTTTTTTATACGGTGTGATTTCAAACTAATTTTTCTTTTTTCCCCTGTAGATGGGTGGTCAGTGATTGGAGTGTGTGTTCACGTGACTGTGCGGGAGGTATACAGAAACGTAGGGTCTGGTGTGAAAATAAGAACAACGCACAAGTGAAAAATAAAATGTGCAAGCATCTTGAGAAGCCAGATCGTAGACAAGCATGTAATGAACAAGATTGTCCTCCTTCATGGCATTCTGGGAAATGGAATGAGGTATAAATAAATTATTCATCTTTTTATGAAACTTATTCAAAATTTCTATTGTATTGTTTTGTTTTGAGTGGTGGGGGATTTTGATATTTAGAGTATCATCTGTTCGCAGGAAAACTTTTATTTTCAATTTTTCTGTATGAGTGTGTTCAAAAAGACCATGTCATAAATCTGATAAATAAACAAAAACAGTGAATTTCCTTTAAAGAACTTTAATGTCAGTGTAATTATACATTTGCAAAGTTTTTGGCTAAATTTTAGTGTTGACATAAGCAAGACAATGCTTCTGAGAATTGTAAATTTGTATTTCAGTGGTTATCTCCCCTTAATAGCTAGCTGAATCTCTGTGTAACTCTTTAAAATAAATATTTGTTTTTTGCTTGAAAGAGTCTAATAGAATTTGCATTTCAAGATGGAAAAATTATTATGCAATAAAATTACAGGCAAGCTAAGTGCATTACTTTCCCCTCTTGATAATTGAATCTTTGAGGTAGTTAGTTGTTCACATTATTTCACTATAAAATATTTCATATATTATTTTTATGTTTTATTTTATAGTGTTCAACATCATGTGGAAGTGGCGTTCAGTTGAGAAGAATCACCTGTCGTACCAAGGATACAAACGGTCATAAAGTTTTACAAGATGACCAGTGTATTACGAAAAAACCCGACCATTCACGTTCCTGCTATCTGGGACCATGTGACTCAATGATGGAGGAATTTGATTGGCTATTATCGCCATGGGGACCAGTAAGTATTTTATATTAATTTTATCGGTGTTTATATATCCGTGTACTTTCATGAACATATATATGTATATATAGTGCAGTGGTAAAAATGTAGTGTGTAATGCATGCTTTTTGACCTGTAGATATTCATCATTTCATTGCAATTCTATTTATAGGCATCTTTAAAAAAATCCCAAACATTTCACTAAATGTATATTCCCCATCAAAAATTTAAACCAACCATCTATTTATAGACATATCAACCTCTTCATTTTCTTAATATTACCCTCACTTAATTATAATACTACCCTCTTAAAATCATTTTAATTGTCTTTTTATCGTAAAATTACGGCATGAAAAAAAGTAGCATAGTGTCATAATTTGAATTTCATGAGTACTCTTCAAAAAGGAAAACAAAATAATGAGTACTCTTTAAAATGGAAACCATAATTGTTTTAAATTGTCCTTGAAAGTAGTTTTATGCTAGTTTGCCATCAAAGTGTGCTTTTATTGCATTAAAGCTTAAAGCACATTCATAGAAATTGTTAATTTAGAAGTAAATGCTAGTTTAATACAACATACATGTATATATGTAATTCTAGAATTATCCTCATTAAGTTACATTAAGTGTTTTCAGATCGGTTTGAGAACAATTTGAATAGAAATTAAAGGACATTTTAACAATTGAAGAAATGTTAGGAACAGTTAATGACTGTGTACATTTAAGATAATAGCTTTAATAAAGCAAAATGCTTTTACCAACTGTGTTCCCATTATTTTACTGTTATTATTTACCAGCAGAATGAAATTTCAATCTTTAAATATTATTGAAAAAAAACTTACTTTAATTTCACAAATAAAAAATGTTGAGTTTTTTTTAAGTTGATTATCATAATCTTTGAGATAGATATTTTATTTTTTAAAGAACATTTTAGATATCATGGTCTGCACTTTTGGCTTATCAATTAGCACTTATTTTAGACTTTTCCCCTAGAAATGATAAATGGTTTGGTCCAGATTAAAAGACGGGCAATTCCATTTAAAATATTTAGTGTGGTAAGGGTTTTAAGACCAGAAAAAAAATTATTATTTTACTTTCTGCTAGTACTTTTAAAGAAGATAATTTTGGACTTGTAAGACTTGTGCCTTCTCTTGTTTAATAACTACATTTCTAAGATTAATATTGTGACATACATACATGCTATAACGTCCCGGATGTCGGGATTGTCCCAGAAATCAGGTGTCTGTCCTGGTCACCGTAATATTATTATTCTATAATAATTATGAAATATGAAGGGTAAAGGATGCTAAATTTTAAGATTTGCAATGAATATACAAAGTATTAAGATCTTGTGTATAGTATTCATTGTGATACTGTTGTATCAACTAATTTCTGTTTGTCTTTTCATTTTCTGTGAATTTTGGGCTAGGGACACTCTTTATATGAAAGTGCTTTGGGTAATGAATTTCCTGTTATAAATGGGAAGAGAAATGAATTGAACATTCATGATTTTCTGTAATGACCAAATAAGATATCGTTTCATAACTTTCTGTTCACCAGCAGCCATTATAGCTTGCCAATGCCATTTAAGTCTGTACATAAAGTCAGAAGCACAAATTTAGCTTTTCGATTTGGTAATCTCTTGAATTAATTATGCACATTTTCCGATTTTAAAAAAAAGGCATGTCCATAATTCAAATTTAGTTCAGGTTATGAAAAGGGCATTTAAACAACAGAGGGTTTCGCTAGTTGGACTGGAGAGTTGTTTTTTTTAAAGAATATTAAGCATATAGGAAAGTTTAAAAGTTAAAATACATGTAATGGGTTTTTGTATGAAAAACTATTTTTATATAGAATAAAGAACTTCAAAGGAAATTTCATATATTCAGGAAAAGGGTTCTTTTATATGTGTATATGGGAGTTATTTGTAAAATGTCTAAAATTATTATACAAGAGTGGGCATGAATCTTGCTTCTGTCTTGCTGCTTAGTGTTCTCAAACGTGCGGCACGGGTCACAGCACGAGGTTCCTGCGATGTTCTCAACTTGACAACCATCAGCGACCAAACATTGTCGATGACAACTATTGTCGAAACATTCCAAAACCTGCAATTTCCATGAGCAAGTCATGCAGTATTATGCCATGTTTAAGAATATCACAGGAAGTAAAGGTGTCACGATGGGAAGTGAGGGGCTGGTCTCAGGTATGTTTGTGATGCTAAACTCCCAGCACGTGGTTTTTGCGCCGCCTGTTCTTTTTTAAAACCCTTATAGCTGACATTGACCTTGCTAGGCTAAGGATTATCTTGTAGAATGTTACCTGCATGAGTGTTGTTGTTGTTGTTATAGTGTTTAGAGTGTTTTATATTGTGAACGTGTGATATTTTTTTAAAACATTTTTACAGGTTTTGTTCAGTTTCTGATTACACATGACTTCATTTATCAATGTCATACCATATTTCATGTTTATAGATAGAGCTTTCATTAATCAGATGATACTTGCTTTACTAAATATTGACAAACTTATCAAGAGCTTGACACTAAAATGCTGTAACATATACAAAATGTACCCTCAAATGTTGAGGAATATACAATATTTTTGCATCAAGCTCTTAATCCGTGTCTAACGGTACATGCATAATAACATTAACATAGCAGATCATTTTGCATCTCTAATATAGCTTGTATTAAATTATGAGAAAGCGTGTAAATTGCCATAAATTAGATTTCTGCTTCTTGCACAAATGGTCTGAACCTGTGTAACTAAACAAAAGATTTTTGTGGTTTCTAGTAATCTTTAATTGATTGTCTAAAAAATCAAGTTTTATTGCCACTTTTTGCAATACTCTTCTAAATTGTACAAAAAATAATGATGTCTTGACAAAATTTAGCTCTTCACTTTAAACAAAATCTTTAATGAAATTGAAATCCCTAGACTTGAGTTGTAGCGATATTTCTGCTTTTCTGATGGCTAAATTCTCATATTGACCTTGCAATAAGGCAATATTTGCACAACACCTCCCCCCTACATATGCAGAGTAAATTTATGCAGAATTTAATAACTATTATGCAGAGTATTATCCAGTTCAATACAAAACATTTTAACAAAATTGTAAATTTTATAGCAAAATAAAACTTGGAATACTTTCTTATCATGACAAGGTGCAGTTATTAGACAAGGGGGCATGATTCTGAAAGCTTTGTTTTTGGAGTTATGCCCCTTTTAACATCAAATTTTTAAAGTGGTTATTTTAACAGACAAGTGATAACACCGCATGTGGTGCTCTTGTTTCATTTATTGGAGTTTGTTTTGTAAAATATTAACTTTAGTTAGTATATTGAGTGACTTTTTTAATTCTTAGAAACAGAAATTAATAGAGAAATACTTATAAATGCATGAAATGGTGGTAATATTGGATATGAATTATGTCTTGGTTTTTTTTTTTAACTCAATAGATTCTTTAACAACTGGTATTTATCTTTAGAAATTGTATTTATGCATTTAGAAAATTTATGTTCAATCATTAGATTAATTTAATGTTCCAATATGTGATCTTTTCATGACAAAAAATTCTCTGAAATTATAGTATACATTCTTGTGTCCAAAATAGATGTTATTTGGAACTCCCAGGGTACAAACAAACTTTTACTGTTACAGCTTCATGGTATGCATCTATATACCAAGTTGTAACTGTAAAAAGTTATTTGTACCCAAGAATCACCTGGGGAAAACCCGCATTTGTCGAGTTCCGGAGTACAGTATCTCTATTTTCAGGAAAAATATGTCATGGTTAATTGTTAATTAGAAAGGTTTTTCTAATTCTAATTGGTAACAGTCTGTGTTACGATACAGGGTTAAAAAGCATTGCAATGCACACAAATGCTTCGGAATAAGTTGATAAAATCTGTATCTATTTGTATTATATAGTATTACCATATAAATATAAACCAGTATATATACATTTGTGGTTATGGATTTAAAACAAATTTATCAGTTAAATTTTCATTACTTACAGCATCTGCATAAAATGTGTTTTGGGATTTCTTGTTTGTTTGAATTTTTTTATTGAAATTATAAATAAAACATGTACATGATTATACTCAATTCTCTACTGAAGCTGGAAATTTCAATGTGAGATTATGATCCCAAATTTTCTAGTTGTCCAAAGTTTAGATAAAAGGTGGTCCTCCTAAAGCATTAAAAAATGTATTTCTTGTATACCAGATTTGCTAGTTTTTGCAAAAGAGAGAAGGTTGATAAGATATATTTCATAATAAGATTAAACTTATCTTACTGGTCAATCCTGCTATTTGGTAACTTTTTAATATAAAATAGTAGATATTGAATTTAGTAATGGAAAGATATTTATTATTTCTCAGTGTTCAAAAAGCTGTGGTGTTGGAAGTCAGTCACGTATTGTATCGTGTGTCAACAATCGTGGACAGCCATCAACATTTTGTAGTGAATCATCACGACCAGTATCCACGCAGTCGTGTAACTATGGAGAATGTGTACCTACTCCACTGGGTAAGTAATTACCATATGAATCATATATTTTTTTATTTTTATGCTCCCCGAAAAAATTTCGGGGAACATATAGTCGCCGCCTTGTCCGTCCGGCTTTCCGTCCGTCCGTCCGTCCCCTTTTCTTGTCCGGGACATAACTTTGAAACAACAAGAGGTATCAACATGAAACTTTGTAGGTAGATAGATCTCATTGAGTAGGTGTGCAGTGCACAAGAACCTTAACTCTGCCTTGCCTATTTTTTTAATTATTCCCCTTTGTTTATTTTTACACTTTGAGCTTTGTCTGGGACATAACTCTAAAAGTATAAGAGGTATCAACATGAAACTTTGTAGGTAGATAGATCTCATTGAGTTGGTGTGCAGTGCACAAGAACCGTATCTCTGCCTTGCCTAATTTTTGAATTATCCCCCTTTGTTTATTTTACACTTTGAACTTTGTCTGGGACATAACTCTAAAACTATAATAGGTATCAACATGAAACTTTGTAGGTAGATAGATCTCATTGAGTAGGTGTGCAGTGCACAAGAACCATAACTCTGCCTTGCCTAATTTTTGAATTATCCCCCTTTGTTTATTTTCACACTTTGAACTTTGTCCAGGACATATAGTCCAAGAAATTTGTGAAAAAATTGTGCACCTTCTGTGAAAAGCATGAAACTTGGCATGGTGTCAAGGAATGGTATTTCAAGTTATTTCAGCCTGGGATCCACTTTTTAAAAATCCAAGATGGCCGCCAAAATCCAAGATGGCCGCCAAAATGTAAAATGTACACAGGTCATGTCAAAATGAAGTTATTTATGACTAGAAAATGCTATAAATTGACATTATAGGTCAAAAATAGTAATTTCTTGGAAAAATGCTCAAGTAGCATTGGTAGAAAATTCAATATGGCTTCAAAATCCAATATGGCTGCCATTAAATGATGATATTTTGACAAATTTCTATAATAAAGGTAATTTGTATCATCAACACTTTTAATACATGAAACAAACTAAAAAAGTGGTATTCCTGCATAAAACTGCATATACAGATGTACATTTACAGAGAGAAAAAAACTTGCATTTATGGATAAAACCATGCGAGCACATCATTTAGCTTGATATTTCAAAGACTAGGGAGCAAGATTAGTGATATTGTACACGGTGACAAAGGCGTCAGCTTTACAAGTTTTTCACGCAAGTTGGTTTTGTAAGAAATACATGATGGAATACGTTAAACTCTAATACACTTATTTTGAGCATAATAGAAGGTCACCGTTAAAGGTCGATAACTCTATCATGGATTTTGACAGAATTATGTCCCTTTTAAATATAGGGATTCTTCATAATCTAGGTTCTTGTTTAGCTATAAAGCACCGAGAACAGGTTAACACTTTATGATGTCCTACCAATAACTCTTGTCAATGTGCATGATTCTGATACCATGCAAAGCCGCTGATGTTAATAATGATCCCCAGTTACCTTGTTATCAAAACATAACGCACAAAAATTAAAGTTAAAATCAATATAAAACTAGTTTCTTTATGCGGAAAACAACATATCGTAGAATCACCGAAACAGAATGACTAATATATATTATTTTGTGCATCAACATCTACAGAAATTGAATCCTGAGCCCATAGAAATGCTTCTGTAGATGTTAATGCTTGAAAAGTGTGAATTAATCCTCTGTTGTATTGTATATTTTAGTGCACACAATTCCTTAGCTTATTTGAACCAAATGTTCAGTATGATTTATACTAGTTAGTGTCGGAAACGTAAGGTTTTCTTTTCCTGTCAATTCTTTTTAATAAATTTAGTTTGCATCATCCTTGTGATCGTCTTACTGCAGCTGTGAGTTCTTTTTCATTAGTAATTTAAGCAGCATATATTTTGTGTCATAGATAACGGAATCAGACTCTTATTATGTCATTATTTTGGCAAGGTCTTGTGAATAAACAAGAAAAACAGAATGATATTGAACAAAAATATCTTGGGCTTTTCTGTAATCAAAATTAAGTGTTTGACATTGAGATTAGTAATTCGTGACTTTATATGAGATCAAGTTGAGACTTTTGCAGCTCTTTCTTTTTGATAATTTTGATATATGAGATTCAAATTGTAAGATTGAGATACTAACTTACTTACTTACTTCGAATTTCGGGGCTGCATTCCAGGGGCAACGCTCTTAAATTTATTGTTAATTTCTCCCTTTTATATTTTAAAGCAGTTGAAATGCCTGATTAAGGGGGTAAAGCCTTACATAATCATATGTATTTTCTGATATTACAGTATAATAGTTGATTTATAATCTCAGTTGTTTGTTGTTGTTTTTTTTTGTATTTCAAAAACAATGGAAACTTTTTAACAAATTATAAATTGTTTACTTAGATTAAATAATTTCTGTTTGGTTTCCACAACTGTCATAAAAGGACTGTACACAAGAACTAGTGAAATCATGCCGAATTTAGCTTAACTCATGAGGTTGTCATTTCTTCAGCTGTTTTTATTTTTTATTATTTACTCCTAGAATCACAACAACAATGAACAATTGACCTTAAACTTGACAGACATTCAGTACTAGATCAATAGGTGTTAATTATAGATAATTGACTAAAGTTTTCTTGTTTATACTGATTAGTATAAGTTGATAACACTTTAAACATTACCTTGCTTAAGTTAGTATAAAAGCAACCTGATGTACAACTGTTGAAATATCATTATTTCTAACATTTTCAGCAATTTACTAGCCTAGTATCCACATTTTTTTAAGAACTGGTCACTTTTGACTCTGAACATAAACTACTTCAAGTAGTCTTGGGTTACGTTTTACTTTAATTCTTATCAAAATACAAATTACATAGTCTAGAATTCTCTGAAATTATTATTATGAAGTGTTTTCTTTTTAGGGAAAATAACATAGCTGTTGGTAAAAATATACAAAAATTTCTATACCATTCCTTTAGCACTTGCACAATGACCCAATAGGAGGTCAGCTACATATTATATCATTGGAATAAGGCTCAGCTTACTTTGATTGCAAGTTGCTTGAACTTGAAATTACCTAAAATTAGCAGAGATTTTTATTCACGGACAGATAATGAAATTATGAGATAGTTTAACTTCCATTTTTGTTTTAAATATTCTTTTGTTAAGAGTTTTCGTAAATCAAGTAAAAATAAATCTGAGCAATTTAATTATGAGCATGTTTCAATATGAATCGGATGCTTTAAAACAGTTTCATAACTAAATGGGTTTTTGTCACAAAAACATATGTCTCCCAAAACTATGCATGGTCACTCATGTGAAGTTTAATTGAAATCCCACCAGTAACTTGACCTGTGAAAGCCGGACAATATTTTTTTATTTATAGCTCCAACGACCATTTTGTGCAGCGAAGCGAAATGTGCTGGTGATGTGTGTGCACAACTAGGGATATTTCTGCTCTCTCCTGTAAAGTTTGGTTGATATTTAACCAGTAGTTTGACCAGTGAATGCCGGACAAGATATCTGCTTTTAGCTCTGGCGGCCATTTTGTGCAGCAAAGCGAAATGCGACAGTGATGTTCACAACTTGGGATGGTACTGATTAGGGGGGCCTCCATGGCCGAGTGGTTAAAGTCGCTGACTTGAGATCACAGGTCCCTCACCGCTGTAGGTTCGATCCTCACTCGGGTCGAAATCTTTCATGTGAGGAAGCCATCCAGCTGGCTTACGGAAGGTCAGTGGTTCTATCCAGGTGCCTGCTCGTGCCTGAAATAATGCCCGGAGCACCTGGGGTCTTCCTCCACCAATAAAGCTGGAAAAAAAATTGACGAAAAAATCTCGGCGGGACAGGTACTGATTACTCCTAAAGTTTAATTGAAATCCCACCTGTAGTTTGACCTGTTAAGGATGGACAAGCTTAATGCGGACGAACGGACAGACAGACAGACGGCGAAGGCAAATACAATACGTCTTTCATGCTGGTATGGTTAAAAAACATGTTATAATTATTATGTATTTGTGCTATTTTATACTTATTTGAAAATGATGACAGCTGGTAAGTAATATATTCTGAAAAATTCAACATGGTTGCCATCTTGGATTTCGACAAGCATGTTTGGATATGCAAAATCTAGATCCAAGGCTTGAATATAAATAAATATGCTATGCCATAATTTTAAATTAGTCTTATTTTATAATGTTCTGTAATGACGACAACAGCTGAAAACTGTAACATTCTGAAAATTAAAATTTAATATGGCGGCCACCTTGGATTTTGGCAGCCATCTTGGATTTGCACAACCTGTATCCGAGGCTTGAATATATATAAATGTGTAATATAATGAAGTGGTGCTATTTCATACTGACCTGTAAAGAGTAAAGCTGAAAAACTTTAATATTTTGAAAAATAAAAATAAATGGCGGCCATCTTGGATTTTGGCGGCCATTTTGGATTAACACAACCAAGATCAGAGGCCTGAATATAAATTAATCTGTAATATAATGAACTGATGTTTTTATACTATTCTAGGTATGACTACAGCTGAAATACTCAAATATTCTGAAAATTTTAATATATGGCGGCCATCTTGGATTTTGGCGGCCATATTGGATTTTTAAAAAGTGGATCCCAGGCTAAAATGAATTGAAATACCATTTCCTGCCACCATGCCAAGTTTCATGCTTTTCACAAGAGGTGCACAATTCACCCTATTTTATGCACGGATTTCTTGGACTAATAACTCTAAAACTATAAGAGGTATCAACATGAAACTTTGTAGGTAGATAGATCTCATTAAGTAGGTTTGCAGTGCACAAGAACTGTTACACTGTCTTGCCTACTTTTGGAATTATTGCCCTTTGTTCATTTTGACACTTTGAACTTTGTCCGGGACATTACTCTAAAATTATAAGAGATATCTAAACATGAAACTTTGTAGATAGATAGGTCTCATTGGATGGAAGTGCAGTGCTTAAGAATCATTACTCTGCCTTGCTTTATTTTGAAGTAATTGCCCTTTGTTTATTTTTACTTTTTGACTTTTGTCCGGGACATAACTTTAAAACTATTATCAACATGAAACTTTGTAGGTAGCTAGATATAATTGGATAAAACTGCAATGCTTAAAGAACCTAAACAAAGCCTGGTCTAATTTTGGAGTTATTGCACTTTGTTCATTTTTACACTTTGAATTTTACCAGGGACATAACTCTGATATCATCAGGAAACTTTATAGATAGATAGATCTCATTGAATAGAAGTGCAGTGCAAAAAAACATAACTCCTCCTTGCCTAATTTTGGAGTTTTTGCCCTTTGTTCATTTTTAGCTCGACTTTTCTATGAAAAGGGGAGCTATCCTACTCGCCCCGGCGTCGGCGTTGGCGTCACACCTTGGTTAAGTTTTTCGTACCACCCCACTTTATTTCAGAAGTATTACAAGTATGGCTTTGAAACTTACCATACTTGTTCACCATCATAACCTCCATCTACAGACAAGAGTACATAACTCTGTCAAGGTTTTTGACAGAATTATGGCCCTTTTTTGACTTAGAAAGTGTATTGAGCTTGGTTAAGTTTTTTGTACCACCTCACTTTATTTCAAAACCATTGGAGGTATTGCTTTGAAACTGACCATACTTGTTTACCATCACGACCTTCATCAACAGACAAGAGGACATAACTCTGTCAAGGTTTTTGACAGAATTATGCCCCTTTTTGACTTAGAAAATACATTGAATATGGGTAAAATCCACTTATTGCCTTAACCCTTTGAGATATTGCTTTGAAACTTTTAATGCTATTTCACATCATTACCCCCATCTGTACGCAAGAGAAGGTAACTCTGTCAAGGATTTGTTTTAAAAATTAAGGCCTTTTATCGACTTAGAATCTTGGTTAAGTTTTTAGTACCAGTCCACTTTTTGACTGAACTGTTTGAGATATTAATTTGAAAGTTGGAATACTTGTTTACAATCATGATTCCCAACATTTAGCATGACATTAAATAATGAATTGAACTTCCTTCATGTAATTCAAATATCAGTTTACAACGCATTATCTACATAGTGGACCCACGAAAAGTAACCAGTCACCCACAGCCTGTGTGAAAGAGATCCACTTGTGACCAACTGACAACATCTAAAAAAGCTTGATAAAATTTATCTATTACTTGTATTATAAGGTAACTATAATACTTTCACATACAAAGTCAAATCTATATATTATGCTGATTGTACAAAAATATACTGCTTCCTTGGCATAGATTTCTTGAAAAATTATGTTATTATGTCATTTACCAAGGTGTTCTGAGTGACGTAAAAATACCTTATTCTCTCAAAGTGGGTTTAATACTATTAAATTTATTTAAGGCTCAACTCAGTTTTTTTTTCTTTCTTACCAGCCCTCTTTTGACTTAAACATTTCAAACTTTGCTGCAGTGTTCAAGGGTATCACACAATTCAGTAAAATAATTCTTCACTAAATATCTTAATGCTCATGGCCATTGTTCACTTTAAAAATACAGAGATTCTTGTATTGCCTTTTACTGCAAAAACTTTTTTTATTGGCAAGCAATAAAAAAGTCGAGCGCGCTGTCTTACGGACAGCTCTTGTTTTATACTTTCCTGTGTCCAGAACCTTCTAGGGGAGCATCACCCGGTTCTTGTTTTGGTTGGGTTTTACTTCGCACTTTCACAGTATATGTCATATGTCAACTTTCCAGCTTTATTGGTGGAGGAAGACCTCACATACCCTTCCATGCATTATTTCAGGCAAGAATAGGCGCCTGAGTAGAACCATTGACGTTCCGTAAGCTAGCTGGATAGCTTCCTCTTATGAAAGAATTCAAAGTCCCTGTTGGGATTCGAACCCATAGCAGTGAATATGAATCATATAAAGTTTGTCATGACAAGATTTGGGTCATTATTTTAGGGAATGGAAAATTGTGTACTGCACAAAGTCATGCTCTTATGGATGCACTGAAGTGGTTTGAAAGTTCTGCCCAGGACCATTGTTCAATGGATTTGAACATTGTGCACAAGGCATTGACTATAGATCAATTTTAACACATTTAAACCCCACATATCCCATATATATATATATATATATATATATATATATACATCACATGGTATATGGATTTAATTATTTTGTAATGTTTTATGTATATACAGAATTTAATAGCCTTGATTTAAGAAATCAAATCATAGAGAAAAGATTAAGCATCAGTCTGAAGTATCAAGTTCATATTTTTCAGGTCAACATTGGTGTAAAGATCAGTTTTCATGGTGTCACTTAGTGCCTCATCACAAAGTGTGCAATAAACAATCATACAAAGAAAAATGTTGTAAATCATGCTTAACTGGTCGATGATTAAAGGGAAGCAATTCTTCATCAATCATTTTGTATTAAAGGGAGGCAACTTTTTAATATAGAGTTGTCTTACTTGAATTTTTGCATACACCAGTTGTAATATACAAAAAAATTTGACAGAGAAACAACTCTACAACTTTGTTATTGGAATGAAACTTCTTAAAGTTTGGCAAGAGGATGTAGTTGAAAAGGAAATGATACTTTTGTGATAAAAAAAGATAATGCCTTTTTGGGGACAGTTGGTACTTTTGCACAAAAGGAATGAGTACTGTTACCCTCTCAAAGAAGAGAGTTCATAACATAGTGGATTTGATAACTAACTTTTATTTTTACCTCCTTGCGGTGGAGAATTTGACCTGTGAAAGTGGTGTGTGTTTTTGTCTCCTATTTATGGAGATCACATCATGTGACTCGCTTTATAGGGTGTTATGGAAGGAGAGTTTTTTACCTCCTAATGTTAGAGAGTACAGATTGTGACTGGTTTAAATTGTGATACTGGTGAATCGAGTTTACACATTTTACTGTGATGCCATTTTGTCCAGCTGGGTTGGACTGAAGGACCCTTGTGGTGTTGTGAATTCTGAGATTTGAGAATTTAAGTCTCAACTCTATATGTTCATTTCAGTGTGTAAAAAAAGGTGTGTAATATGTGAAGGATCTGTGTTGAGGTTTTGTGTAAAGTCAAATTTGAAATGTTGCATACAATGTTTTGTAATATTTAAGAGACATGGATATGTCAGATTGTTAATGTAAAGGTTATTTACAAGTTATCAACAAGTGTTATGTGAAAAATATTTTGAGAAAACCTATGTTAACATATTTTTGTGTAAAAAATATAGTGAGTTGATGTGAAAGGTAAAAGATGGCTTTTGTGTAAGAAAATGATTAAAAATCTACATATTTTTACCATTACATCATCATTTCATCATTTCAGTATAGATATATAAAATGTGATAAGTGCAATTAGTAGAACACATAATTTAGAGAGATGGTGAAACTAAAGTACAGGGGAGGAGGAAACAGAAGAAAAAAGACGGAATGTGTCTTTTTTTATTAAAAAAGGACCAATTTGTGTTTTGTCTCGCTAATACATTTTCCATTGTAGACGTTTACTGTGTTTTGACCTCATTATGTTTATTTTTACATTTTTGTGTAGAACTTTTTATGTTTTAAGCATTTTTTTATGTAGAGTGTATCATGTTTTATGCATTTTTTGTGTAAATCTCATCATGTTTTGTGCATATTTTGTGTACAGTAGAATTTCAGCATGTTTTGTAATTTTATCAATATTCATTCAATAATGTGTTATTTAGAGAGGTGAAGAATATTTCATTTTCATTGGTCAGTTTGGAAAGTCCTTTCAAGAAACAGCCAATCATATTTCAGCTTTCTTAAGCAGGTTGCTTGGTTGGCCTTTATCAAATATATTTGTGAAATTGTGCTATGTAATAATTCAATATTTGATTTTGTCCTTCAGATGTATTTGTTGTATATTATAATTATTTATTTGCTCTATTCATTATTCTAAATGAAATCGGTGTGAGGAGAAAAAACCGATAAAATTACAGAGACCTCCTCTTGTTATTTTTAAAGTAATTCAAATTTTATGCTGTAGTAAATATAACTTACAAAGTCAAGTCTTGAAACAGCACTTGTAATGAAAAGCATACAGTCATGTACACCTTTTAAAAAAACATTTAGTTACCCTGGTTTGGATTCGACATTGAATTTCAAATTTGATGCAGGAACAATGGACTCCTCTTATTTCAATTAGAATAATGTTTATGGTTGACTAATAACTGTAAATTCTCTTATTAGCAACATCCAATCACATTTCTATGTAAATAAATAATGACCTCTTAATCTTTCATTGGTACAGAAAGAAAAAGAAATAAAAAAATGAAAGGGGTCGGGCTTCTTTATAGAAAAAATGCTGATACACTTTAATAACCCTTACCTTGTCTAATTTGCATATTGTAGTAGAGAGGTGTGGCTTTTAGTTGGAAGTTGAAGGAATTTTAGCATCAAAATATTGTTATTAATCAGTCAACAGTATAGGGCTCGGACATGCCTCAATGGTGTTTAGGCTGGCCTGGCAATATACTGGTGTCACAGGTCCGTTACCACCTCAGCTAGCGCTGGAAAGATTTAAGTTTAGAAATCGTAAGTCTGTCAAAGTTAAATGTTCTGCACTGTTTAGCCGTTCATTCAGTTATTATATTGTATCTTAAAATTTTTTCCCTAATTATGATGAATGTTTGTTTTTTCTAGCTTGAAAGATGATCAAATCCATATAAGAATATTAGTATGGAAAGGTTATGGAATTTCTTTCTATTTTAGAGATCTAATAATAAATTATCACAACTTATAATGAGGAATGGTCTTGCTAATAAGGGAATGTCAATCATTTATCAGTTATAATACTATAAATGAAAACAAAACTGTCTCAAAATATCATCTTTATCATGCACAATTTCCATACAAGTGTATTCTTTATTTTTTCAATATATTTACCTTTATCAAATATCATCATAAATGTTTCATTTTCTGTATGTTTTAAATTATCATGTATGTTTATAATGTACATCATCATGCTTTTGGCTTCAAGAATTCTTGAAAATTACATGTTGATTATTCTTAGAAATTTTATTGTGGACTGATTCACTGATTCTAAATGTACACTATCATAATCTATTGTAAGGATTCAGCAAGGAAATTTCAATATTTGGGAGAAATGCAATAGATTTGCAGTGCTATTACATGTTTGCTAAAACATAATGATAACTTTGGTCTGGCCATATCTACATGTATTTGTATGCCAAAAAAGATTGTAAAATGAATATAACAATTAACTTACCTTTAACGAAAAATGAGAGAGCACTTTTCAATGCTATTTCTATTCTATTTAATAATTTTAAATAGAGTCCATTTTGTCTACAAAGATAAGAAAGAAATTTTGACCTTATTGTGTGATTATTTGTTAAAAAAGGCCTTTAATTTTGATGCCATTTGAATAATGGTTGAAATATAATACTTATTTCTTATCAGTTTATGTGATTGTTTTCTTTCTCTGTTTGTTATTGTTGTTGTTATTGTTTATTGTTATTCTACAAACAAAAACTGATCTTATTTTAAGCTTGTTTATATCATACCATATTTTCCCTTATAAATGTCCTAGATATAGTTTAAAGTTTTGTTTTCTACAGAAAAACATGTAAAATTGAAATTTTGCATTTTGTAGCTTAATTAAGAACATTGTATAGCATATGATTAAAAAAAATCATTTATACACATATTTTTGCTAATTTAATAGTGGTTATATATTTTTAGGGATGTTTATTTGGGAATATATGGTATACAATTTAATTGACAGGGAGTGTATAATTGATAATTATAATTTTGATCCTCTTCTATTTTACTAAGATATTACAACTACTTTAAGATAAAATGTCATGTTGATATAACAAGAAAAAGATACATGTACCATAAATATTCAACTACAAGACGGATCAGTTATAAGACGGGGGGCCTAAATTTGGTGTAAAAATTTACAGTATTTTTATTTCATTTCCATTTACAATTAAAGATGCTTTATGGTTCATAATGAAGAATCAGTCATACCAATTTTTTTTTTAAGTAAACTACCGAAAGTGGTTGCTTAATTTATTACCCCATTTATTAATTAAAACTAGTGTTCAGTGATAAAAAATGATTTTATTATGAGACACACGGAACATCTGGTGCCTTTTACCAGGAGTTCTAGTAGAGAAATATACATATTTTTGTACATTTTATTGATGTTTTAAAGAGAATATAGCTCTTTTTTTGTACCTAACGAAGATTTGAGATTTCACTTCCAGAGGTAAATGGGAAAATAAACATTTTATAAATAGATGTTATCTGGAACTTGGCAAATGTGGGTTTTTCAATACTAATCCCCCAGTACAAACAAACTTTTACCATTATAGCTTCACAGTGGACTTTCGGTCACAATAGTCAACCTGTTGCTCTTAATTTCAAAGCTGTAACTGTAAAAGTTTGTACCCCGGGATTAGCTAGGAAAAACCCAAATATTCTTAATTCCGGAGTGAGTCTATTCTTAATTGAGTGAAAATTTGAGTGCATTAATCCATATTTAATGACTGAAACAGTCTCTAAAGACTGTATGATATACATGTATACCTTATCAACTTTTTAAAATGCATTTACAAGTCCATCATGTGAGTATTTGTTTAACGAACTAATAAATATGACTCAGTTATACATCATACAACGTAAAACCTGTATCCTAAGTGTGATTTTCATACGTGTTATAACTAAAAATAAAAACAAATTTTCTCTGAAAATGATAATTCACAGTTTTGTGTTAACACAATATAATCTCTAACACCTATCTCTGCCACATACATTGATTTTTCTGAAAGTGATAATGGTATCATAGTAATAGGGATTGGCTTTTTCAATCACAGGATTTAATCATTTCCTTACAATACCTTAGTAACAAAATGCAACTATGGCAATAACTGACAATGCCATTTTACTTGGCTGGGATAAGTGTGTTTAAATTTTATCCTAGAAAACCAAGAGGCTTTCTACCAAATTATTTTTCTACAACACCTGATAGTTCAAAATTCCAAAGGCAAGAACAGAAGCATCGTAAAGTTTGTTACAATACAAAGTTTATAAATACCAATCCTGCTAATCAGAAAAAGACTTTAAAATGTTAAATTACAATAAATACTCTTTATTCCTCTTATTAAAAGGGACTGTGGTTTATGACATGACAGAACTAGAATTTTTTTTTCACGATTTTTTTATAACATTTGATGAAGGTCCTTACTAAGAACTTGTGGGCAAAATTTCAGATCATTTGCTGTTTTCAAGAATTTTTCTCTTTGTTCTGCAGAATGATAAAAATGCAAAAAGTTTATATGCTTTTAACTCAATTGCAGCTAAGAATCACTCTTCATATTGATTTTAAATTTAATTCAGAGATTTTTTTATTACCTGTTTCATATTTGCTGTTTTAAGAGCCCCAGTTGATTTATGTAATATTTTCAAATTCTGTTTTTATGGCTTTTGGACCTCAGTGGAGCTGCTTTAATAACAAAAATAGCTGTAGTTTATTATTGATAATTTATGTCATTGTATGTGGTAGTGATTAAAAATAAGACAAGTATGAATCCATTCATACTTACATAAATTCACACAAGAAAAAAACACATTTATGTGTTCCTGGTATTATGGTATTATTTTGTTGCACTAATGGTTTTGATTTAATCTTAATTGTTAACCTATCCTAGACAAAGGCACTTTGCTTTTAAATCAGGCCCTCTTTTAACGATAGAAACATTTGTTAAACTTCAGTAAAACAGAGTTCAAGAAGTTCTTATAAAAAATAAATATTTTTGTTCAAGTTTTGTTTTGTCAGTTTTTAAACGTCTGATAAGAATGCACGTTAGAATGTTAAAAAAGGTTTGAATATTGTTAAAAAAAATTATAGATATAAAATCCATACTGAATGAGCAATAAAAAAATCCAAATATTTTTATTTAGAAAAATAACAATTAATGACACTCCTGTAACATAAAATCATTAAAAAAAATCCTGTATCATATATTAGGTCATAATAATGAATAATGATTTTTAAAACAGAATTACATCTTTAATTAACAGATTTTTAAAGCAAATTTTTATAGTTATAATTAATGCCCCGTCTTGAAAAAATGTTGGCCCAGAGGGGCTTTAAATGGAAACAGTACGGTACCTTAAGAAATCTTAATTTATTGTTTTTCTGTATCAGATTATAGCATTTACTCTATAGTGTGTTCTACAAGCATTGTGTGCCACTTCATTTGTGTTATAAATAACAAATTTTTACAAAAGTTCATAAATCATTTAAATTGTATATATTGTGAATACCGTTGTTATTTATAGTATTTTCTTGAAAATTTATCAAGTCTATTTTTTGATGTCATTAAAAATGAATCCTGCCTATAAACTCTTGTCATTATTTTATCCCAGGTTTTGGAAGTGTAAACTTAAATTTTGCCTTGTATGATAGTACCATTGTAGGTTCCGTGTCAAGTTGTGTGTTCCTTACTCAATACCTTCAACAAATTCAGTTGGAAAATAGTTGTGTAGTCTCATCCACTGGTTTACTATGGAGAACATTTGTCCAAAGTTATATTAAAATCCCACCATGCATGTAGATATTACGCTCCAGACACGGGTTTTGGACTGACGGCCCAAGTGTGACCTTGGCCTTTGAGCAACAGACCTGGGTTGTGTGCGACATACCACCCCATCATGTACCAAATTATTTTTTAATCCTTCAAGGAATGAGCAAGATATAGACATAAATCTATATAGATAAATCTGGTCGCATGTACACGGAAAAATACGCCAAGAGACAGCGAAGTGGAGGTCATCTCAAGCAGGCTAGACAAAAATGGACTTGTCATTTCAATCAGTCCATTATTAGTTTTAGGGAAATCTAAAACATAATTCTGAAGATGGTCAACCAGCATTAAGGGATGCGATATTTAAGAATTTAGACAACAGAAAATTAAAACAAGTTTGATAGTCTCACAGATTTATTTGCATATAAGCACATAGTAATTACATAATTACAGAAATTCCCAATGAGAAGTTTGAATATATACATTTATTTTGTTATAAATTAGCTATATATTGAAAAAATTAAGTATTTTCATTAGCAAGTGCACAACTGATTTTGACTTGCACAGCCTATAATAGTATAACTTCACAATTGCAAGTTGATCAATAACAATTACGATACAAGTAGCAATATTAACCAAATATCATTTACAGACACTTCATTGACATTTTAACCAAAAATGTTCAGGGTTAATCTTTGTTAAAAGTTTGAACAAACATATCTAACAGAGATACTGTCTACTTTGATCAAATAAATCAAAATGAGGGTCATAATTAAATCCAATCAAGGGCAATAACTAAATAAAATCAAGGACCATTATAAAAACAGACTTAACAAAATCTTGGGGCGATATTTCAGATCATCAAAAGTGAACACAGAGAGACTTTGATTCATCAACTTTAAGACCAGACAGGTTATACTATTAACAATTTTCTAACTAATTCAAGGGCTGTAACTCTAGCCTGCCATTTGTAACTGTCAAGGTAAATTAAACATAGCCACTAAATTAGGATCAATAATTTCAATAAAGCTGTTCCATTTGAAGAGTTAACAATGCCATATAAAAATGTTTCATACCAAAGAACGTTTTTAAAAATTGCAAATATCAAACTACTTAAGTAAAGAATTCAGTTTTGCCCAGCTTGATTCTAATGACTAGTAGAAGATGGATAACACTTCAATGGTATGTTAAAACTAATGTAGTTTGCAAATACCATGATTTTATCACTTATACAATTCACAGAAATCTTTTCATTAAAATCCCACATTGTTTTCCAAATTTCAACAAAAAAAGTACGAAGATATTACATCTAAATATGAATAAATTATCAATATGCTAATAATACAGTTAAGAGATTTTTAGAATTCATTTCAAATGACTTACACAAAAACACTTTTCCATAGCATAATCAACAAAATTGTACACATTTTTATATTGTTTATTACCAGTAAAGAGATGAATCAAAATAACATTGACCAGCAAATTGTATCATAAAAAAATTATAAAATTTCCTTAACTAGGGATTTTTAAAAATAACATGTAGGAAAAGAACAATTTGGGAAAAAGATTTAAGTAGTAGGGGCCCGCCATTTAGAAAAGAATTTATCAAAAGAATTTTGTCAATGAAAGGAATGGAGTCAATAAATGGGAACCAATCTAATGTAGAGTAATAAAAACTTTATTAAAGGAACCAGCTATTAAGAATTCAGTACCAAGCAAAAAATTTGAAAGTCAGAGACAGCAAAATATCCGACATTGGAATTCACATTATATAGGTAAAGAAGGGAAAACATTACATTATGGAAGTCAGGGGAGTAAACAACTACCAAACTTCCACTAACAGAAGCCCTGTAAAATTTCAATCCATATATAGTGTTTAAACTAGTCAATATTATGAGGCATTTTTATTTATCAATTGTTTAAAACTTTAACTACAGTGCAACCTCTTGACAACAACCAAAATCTTTGTCTCCCAATGTGTGTCCCAAAGGGTGTCACTATGCAGTGGTTGTACTGTAAATAATACACTGTAAACATAGTCTGTGCTACTTTTTTCCTGTTTTTTTTGTACTGGATTTCACGATGCAATAACACAGTATAGGTCAAATAAAGAGTTTCCAGCTTTACTGGTGGAGGAAGACCTCGGATACCCCTTTGTGCATTATTTCAGACACCTAAGTAGAACCACTGACATTCCATAAGCTAGCTGGATAGCTTCCTAACATAAAAGAATCCAAAGTTGTTGTAGGGATTTGAACCCACAGCTGTGAGGGGCAAGTGGTTTTGGAGTTAACATCAACGGTGTGCATGCGGGCCTGGGAAAGTCTAATCACTTTCTGTTCCAGCAAGTTTAGGGTTAAACCATTATTTTTGTTGTCAGTAAGAAATTTCACTATATATGTATAATAATAAATGTATAATAATAAATTTAGTAGTGCAAGAGTTCAAATAAATATTTATTACAGGCAGACATAAGGGACTCTCACAGCAATATGGTGGGAATTTCATGATAGTTTGCTTGGACATTCAAAGAGTTCTACATACAAAGGGTTTATAACCCAGAAACATTCAAACTTCATCAATATAGGCAAGCTCAATTTCGCAAGAATACTGATTGATATAAACTGAAAGTATTTGTTGCAAATCATGATTGCAAAAGTAATGGAATACAATAAGGGAAAATAAATCCCTAAAAATATGAAGATAAAATACTCAAAAACAAAATATATACAACAGCAACACTTTGCAACAAAATATGAAAACAAAAACTATTTTTAGTCAAAAATTATCGGGATTAATTAAACTTAAATTAGTTTATAAATATATTACAAGAGAATATCTGTTGGATTTGGTTCAAGATTAAAATATGCTTCAATATATAATACAACAAGTGATCACCTAATGCAATACTTTAAAGGGACTCCACTGAGGTTTTTTGACATGATGGAACTGAAAATATTTTTTCCAGATAAAAGTACCATTTGATGTAGGTTTAGACCACGAATCTTTGTGCAAAATTTCTGATCATTCGCGCACTTCGTTTTACCAGAATGGCTAAGAAAAGCATAAAAATATGATTTTCAATTTATTCCAAAGAAAATTTATTAACTATCTTTGCATATACACTGGAGCCACGATATAGCGCTCTTCGGTACAGCGCTAATCTCAGTAGAACGCTCATATGCCTTGGCTCCCCCAAAAAAAAATCGTATTTTTCGCCGATTATAATTTTTTTTTCATGTATATCAATACCGCACCTTATCCACTATAACGCTTGTTCAATGTGTCAGTCGAGTGCAATAAACAGTCATAATTACGTCACTCATGATAAGGTGTGAAGTCATACACAGGTAAGCGTTAATCCTCTTTTTTGATTATTTTGAACTGTTGATCAGTCAGGTATCAAACTGTTAGCTAAAACATGCAAACACCGAAGAGTTAAGTAAATCACCCAAGCGTACAATTAATTTTAAAAAGCAATTACTTTCGATCTATCGGCAAAAAAGTTGTTGAGGATGACTGATTTTTTCACAAGAGACAGCAGGAAAGACGATTAATTTAGTCCCATCCACTAGGTATCAATTTTCATGACCACACATAACACACGTTAACACCGCTGTTTTACTGGAAATTTATAAACAATTGTACATTCGTGGTTTATATTTTTAATTCGTAAATTTCATGTTTATATTAAAGATATTCAGTAATGCTTTACAAAATAATTAATAATAATAATATATAAAAAAGCTTGGACTGATATCCATTGGAAGGTAAGTAAACAATCATTTCCACTAACAAGCGTTATATGTTTCAGCGGTGGGTGGGGTAATGCGATATTTTCGCTATAATTACACAATGAGCGTTATAAAAAGTTACTCGTTACAACGCTGTCTTGAGATCATGGACCCCAACATGAGCGCTATATCGCGGCTCCAGTGTATTTCTGTTTAAAATGCCCCAGCTCATTTATGTAAGAAATTCAAATGTTATGTTTTTAGGCTTTTAAACCTCAGTGGAGTCCCTTTAAAGAGTGACATAATCATAAAGTTCAGTTATAATTAAGTATATATATTCAAAATTTCTACAAGAAATGAGATGTACTGAATTTCACATAATAGATATATATATATAATTATATTAAGCTACATCTGAAAGTTTTGATACATCATTCACATAACTGCTCAGTAACAAAGTTCATTTCATCATGACGATACAGCAATGATCTTGCATTCATTTCATTTTTGAGATTTATGATATTTTCAGGTCATGAATCAAAATATAGATCTAAAGAAATTTGTGCAAATAAACAGGAAAAAAAATTACCACCCCTTTTCACAAAGACAACAAGTCACATGACCAAGACTTTGTCACATGATAAAAATAGTGGTTGTCACATGACATACAGTAACTGTTATCAAAGAGTAACAATGTTTAATCAAAATGGTCTGAAAAATAAAAGCATAATTATGATTTTCTCTAAAATGAAAGTCTCAACATAATTTTAATTTTACACTCCATAACAAAATCAAAAAATAATAATCAAAGACAAGTGCCCAACTTTTGTTTACCCTATTGCTGCCGTAAAGATGGGTAACCTAATTTCTCTCATAGTACACTCAATATGTCTAAATATAGGCATACAAGCTTTTGTAAATAAAATGTTTACGCAATTAATTGAACATTTGCATTTTTTCTCTCATAAAAATGGTAAACAAACCATTTAATTCTAATCAAGTCATCTTCCATAAAAGGTACCAGTTTTGAATAGCGAAAGCCAAACATCCATTACATATTTTTTCAATGAGTAAGAATTCCTGTAATTTTTAGAAACTTTCCTTGCATATACATGTACAGGAAGAAGCCCATATGCAATTAAACAGATGGCAGCAAAAAGGAAAACACACACTCTTCATTATACAAATTTCTAACCACAGAAATATTCTGTATTTTGATCAACTTTTATCAAGTTATACCATTTACAAAATAACCTATGTACAACATTTGGACAAAATATCACTAAATCTACATAATTCCCGATAGACAGTAAAGTGTCTAATAAATTATAATATAAACACTAGCACTGTTAACTATTCTTTTTGTTCTTTTAGTTCCACTGGAATAGAATAAATATTGATTTTCTATTTTTACACAAAATTTCATTTTGCGAATGATTGTAACAAACAGGCATGACAATTAGTCTTACAATTAACAATGATTCAACAGAACGTTTGGATACAAATACAATTTCAAACCTTTTGCTTGTTGGCAGCAATTAAATACAAATATACCCTATGCTACCAGTGCAGACCATGATCAGCCAGCACATCCTGTCATGGTCTGCACTGTGTCATTTCATATTTTGAAATTTTCCTAAAAATATGATGAATGGTTTTGTCCCATTGGACAAGCACATTTAAGATATTTAGCATGATAATAGGGGTTTAAATCAAACTTTAACAAATTCTAGTATCTAAAGAGATGATCTTTAACCTGATCTTTTCAATCTATACAAACAATACTTAGCCAATCATCCAATGATCAAATGGTAACAACCCAAATCAAAAGTATAAAGTTCCTTATACAAAGGAATTTTGTCCATAAAATCACATTCCAAAATGATTAACATGTACATATATACAATTTATTCAGTTTCCATGGGAACTTCTTCATTGCTGCGTTTACCTTTCCCCCGATTTGAACCCTTGCCGGATTTTATACCACTGGTACCCGGCTTTACATCATCTTCCTGGGTACCAGTCTGTTCAATTTTTCCATTAGTCTGGTTATCAGTTTCACCATTTTTATCTATTATAGATTGGTTCTCTGCTTGTTGTATTTCTGCTGCTTTAACAAGCTGAAATACCAAACAAAAATAATATATCTGTTGGCTTCACTACATACATCAATTCTACCATGCTTATTATTTATTTTAAAGATAAACTATGCTCATTTTGGGGGTAAAACAATTAATTGGGGGAAAAAAATTTATTGAAATCTTAAAATTCTTCTGAATTGTTTAAATTTGAAAAACAGAAGGGCCCCCAAAACTATTTTTGGGGAAATTTTCCCCTATTTTTGAAAAGAGATTTTTCTACAAGATTGTCTAGAAATTTATCAAATTTCTCAAATATCAATTTTGAGTTTGAGCAAAATAAAACTTTTCCCAAAGGTTGTGCTAATTCTACCCCCAAAAAATAGCTTTTCATTAATTCAGTTAAATACAATTTTTGGTTGCTGACCTTTAACATTGCTAACATTACTAAAAGTTTCCCAACCTTTAAATTCTATGAAATGACACAACCATTATAGATAATTGGTAAATTAGAGATTTCATAGCATGTTTACAGTATTATGTTTCAATCTACTGCATGATTTTAACTACTTTTACAAGTCTTGTCATAGATTTTGTTGTTAAAAAGAATTTAAAATTAAATTATTTTTTTCAAAATTTTGCTTAATTTCACTACAGATTCTTTAATCTCATATATAAATGTACATGCTCAACAACACTTACATAAATAATTCGACTCCGTAAATGAGAAAAGATTAATAGATCATCTCATGTAACTATTTTTGTCTGGCTTTTTAAAAACAAATCAATATTTTCATAGTTATAATGGTACGAAAAAGAAATTCAGGGTAAATAACATTAATCCTCAAGAATGCTAGCAAGGGTATGTAAATGGTTTTTTAGGGTTGGGTTTAACATCACACAAACAAAGTATAAGTCATATTACAATTTTCCAGCTTTACTGGTTGATACAAGACCTCAGATGCCCTTCCGTGCATTATTTCAGGCATGAAACAGGCACCTGAGTAGAACCATCGACATGCCCTAAACTAGCTGGATAGCTTCATCACATCAGAAAATTTAATTCCTTTTGGGATTCAACCCCCCAGCCTTGGGTAAAATAGAAGCAAGAAAATAATACTGGGTATCAATTTTAGACATGGAAAAACTTTACATTGGTGCATTTTATAACACATTGTTTTAAATGCCCCAATATTTTTATCTCCCCAAAATATTTGGGAAAATCGGGGAAATTTTAAAGGGAGAGCCCTTTCCATTTCAACAACAAAATTTGGGTTAATTTTAATTTCCCCCGGGCCCCAATATGGTTATTATTAAAACAACAAATAAGGGCATAAGGGTTTTTTTATTTTTTTTAATCATTTGGCCAAAAAAACAGTTTAAAATTTTTTGAACCTTTATAAATATTCGGGGAAAAAACAGAAACCAAAACTTTTGGTTTAAATTTGTAAAATCTGGGAAAGCCAATGAATGTATATACCCACATAAAATAATCCCAAAGGGGGTAAAATTTTGTTATAAGTATCTGACTGGAACAAGGCCACTATATGGCATATCTCCTCGTTTGTATCCATAAAGTGCCGTTAGTAGCAGAGAAAATAGCGAGAAACAATATTTTTCTATAGGGTACTGCTTAACTAATCAAGGGCCATAACTCTGAGTCTAAAAGTGTCTGACCGGAACAAAGCCGACGCATGATGCGCATCTCCTCTTGGTATTGAAAAAGGGTTTCCCATAAAGTTTAGGTTGGGGAATTTCCGAGCCACGTAGTTGCAGAAAAAGTTAGTGCGCGGAAACGATTTTTACTCTATATGCATACTACTAAACTAATCAAGGGGCCATAACCTCTGAGTTAAAGGGTCCTGGACCGGAACAAGCTGGGGGATATTTTTTGCGGGGGGGGGCCAATTTTTTCCTCCCTCTTTTTGATTTAAAATTGGGATGAATTCCCAAAAAGTTTCTTTGGGAATTTTCCAGCTAGTAGTTGCAGAGAACTACTCCGAAAACGATTTTTACTCCATATGCCATATTGCATAACTAATCAAGGGCCATAACTCTGAGTTAAAGTGTCTGACCCGAACAAGCCGACGATATGCCCATCTCCTCTTGGTATTGAAGGTTCCCATAAAGTTTCGTTGAATTCCAGCCAGTAGTTGCAGAGAAGTAGCGCGGAAATTATTATTACTCCATATGCATACTGCATAACTAATCAAGGGCCATAACTCTGAGTTAAAGTGTCTGACCGGAACAAGCCGACGATATGCGCATCTCCTCTTGATATTGATGATTCCCATAAAGTTTCGTTGAATTCCAGCCAGTAGTTGCAGAGAACTACTCCGGAAACGAAATTCGGACGGACGGATGGACGGACAACGCCAAAACTATATCCTCCTCCCGATTTCATCGGCGGGGGATAATAATTCTGCCAATTTATAATTAAAGAGATTCTGCATTCAATGAACATGAGTACAAACACACAATTTAAGGGTTTATAACCAATTTATCGTCAATCTTGAAATTGTACCCATAAAAGTCATATTTGTGTGACATATTTAATGTATCAACTTACCTGAGAGACCAAGTCCTGAAAAGAAAAGAAAAAAACAATTGTAAGTAATTAACACATTAATGAAAATCCATCATAAGTAAGTTAATTTTAAGATTAAGCTTTATTTAGTCATGCTGGCCTCATGCTGACCATTATAAGAACAACATGATACAGTAAAAATTGCAAGAGAATAATACAAGAATGAGGCATTCCATGTCTGTTATAGATTTATTTTTTTGTTTGTTTAATGTCCCACCAAAAACAGTACAGATAATATGGCGACTTTCCAGCTTTACTGGTGGAGTAAGACCTCAGGTGCCCCTCTATACAATATTTCAGGCAGGAACAGGCACCCTGAGAAGAACCACCAATGTTCTGTAAGCTAGCTGGATAGCTTTCTCCCATGAAGAATCCAAAGACGCTGGCCCGGTTCAAACATACACCTGTGAGATACCAGTGGTTTAAAGTCAAAGATCTTAACCACTCAGCAAAGGACGCCCATAACAGATCTATAGGCCATTTTATGACAATTTTTTTGTATGTAGTTATAATACTCTTCATCACATAATAAACTATCTATGCCAGTTTAAGAACATATTTAAAGTTATTCTAGATGCAAGTGAAACAAGCACATTCCAGCACTTATTTTCATTTTTAGCAGGACCTGGTGTTATGGTCGTCCTTTGCTGAGTGGTTAAATTTTTTGACTTTAAACCACTGGCCACTCACAGGTGTATGTTCGAACCATATGTTTCTGTTGTTTTTATATTTTCTGTTGATTTTTGTTATCGTGTTTTATTCTTGTTTTTTATTTGTTTTCATGTCTTCATTAATGTGGATTAAACATTATCTTTACAGTCATGTTATGTATCTGGCAACAAACAACAATTACAAAGTCTGACTCTGTTGAACTCAAGGTCAAATAAAGTCAACACAGCAATTAACCAATGCCATCTGATCATGGTCTGCAATGTTTGCTTTTCATTAACAACATATTTTGAATTTTCCCTAAAAATGATGAATGGTTTGGTCCAAATTAACAGATAGACAAGTCAACTAAAGATTCTTAGTGTGGTAAGGTTAAAGACATTCAATCACTTTAACGATCGTATAGTGACTTTTTCACTTAACTGGTGCAGGAAGACCCCTCATAGCCATGAATAAAGAAAAACTACTTCATAATTACCTCATAGCTGTTGCCAATAAGATGCTGCATCTCATGTCGTACTAGATAATCAGAAGTTGGGAAATCTCTGTCACAATACTGGCAAACATATGATACATCTTCAGCTGAAAAGTTTACAAATGGTTAAGTATTTTCTGTAATCTAGGACACACAAAATTTAAATCTGGTCTTAATTTCAATTTACAGACAGAAACTTCAAGGCAGTGGCAAAATGCACTTAAGGCAGTGGCTAGATGTACTCAAGGCACTGGCTAAATGGACTTAAGGCAGTGACTAAATGGAAACATTGATCCCAAAACTGCTAAAATGTAATCTAAAGATAAAGCAAAGATTAACAACTTTAACCAGTAACTTTAACCAGTGCATTACTTCACCTTTGATGAAATAGTACGACTAAAAGAATTTCAAGTTACATAAATTAATTAAAACAGTTAGTTTGTAACATTTCTTAAATTAAACAGCTTATCTTCATTTGACAGGAACTTCATAAATTTATAAGCTTTATCACACAATATTACTCTATCATAAGGAAATGAACACAAAATTTTAACAGGTGCAAAGTCTTCCAATTTCTCATAAAATAATACTAACCTGTTTCTAACTTCTCTTTAACATCACCATTGCCTTCACTAGCTTTAGTCTTCTCGACTTCGGTTTCCATTTTTTCATCAGATGTACCAGGCTTCTCATCTATCTCTGACTTTACCTCTTGACTTTTTACCTCTATCAATTCTGTACCATCATTTGATTTATCTATCTTCTTTTCATCTAAATTCTTTTCTTTATTCTCTGCTTTAACTCCTGACACTTCACCAACGACCTCCATAGTCTCTGAAGTTGATGCATTTCCACTTGCTTCCTTCGAAGTTCCATTAAGTTTTACATTCTCACTATTTTCTGCAGCTCCAGTAGCCTTAGATTCAGCTTTCTTTTCATTCTGAAACATCTTAACCACTTCAAGTGCTTCTTTCATATCTTTGTTCTTTACTTCCTTTATTCGATCTTTGTCCCCATTTTCTGCTAACCATTCTGAAAATTCAGGTAGCGGACTGAAATGAACTTTTACATGCTGAACTAAGACATGCGTTTTTCCAACACTATAATCACAATATGGGCAAGCATATTCATTCTTTACCATGTGGCATCTTAAATGAGCTAACAAATGATCACGCCGTATATTTGCATAAGGACACCTGTCACAACGATACAGTTTCTTTGGTTCGAGATCTTCAGGCTGGTTCTCGTAAAGGTCAATATGATCGTGTGTGATACTGACAGGGTTTTTGGAATCATTATTTGTCATCATACTCGCCAAAGCAACGTCTGCTGGCATCTCAGGTAGGTACTGTAAGTTAAGGATGGATTGAGCAGCCAGTAGGTTCTGGTTCGGTTCAAAGTGGAGTCTCATATGCTGATTCAGAAGGTTCATTGTGGGCACACTGTAATCACAGAAATCACACTTGCATTTCTGTTTGCTTCCATGCATTTCCACATGACGCTGGAACCTACTCCTCTTAGAACTCGCATATGGACATTTTTCGCATCCATACTTCTTAAATCTTGTTATTTCAAGGAGGGTGTCAACTTTGTTCTCCATGGCAATACTAGAATCCATTTCCGAATCTTCACTTGTGCGACTATCCCTGCGATCCTTCTCTTTCTCTTGCCCTATGTAATCCACGCCATAATTTGGCTGGTGAACTTTCATGTGGTGAGCCAAGAGTCCTTTGGAGCCTACAAAATAGTCACAATGTGGACATTTCATCAGAGGATGTGTTGCTGACCTCTTACCATGCATCATTTCATGAAGTTTCATATTTCTCAATCTTATATTCATGTAAGGACAATGTCTACATTGGTGAATCTTCCGATATGTCCCATCCTTTCGCAAGAAGCTTCTTCTACCACCAACAGAACAACTAGCAGCAATCTTCATCGGAGACACGAGGGGACTCTGTGAAATACTGGGGGTTATCTTTGAAGAGATTATTCTTTGCTTTATAGCAGCGATTTCAACTGTGTCATAAACTAGAGAGTTCTCAGAATATTCAGACTTTGATGGCGTGGCAACGGTATCAGAGTAGTATCCCTCTTCCTCATGGACTTTCATGTGTTGCTTGATGAGACGTCTATGAGAGACCCAATAGTCACAGAAGTCACACTTGTAATCAGCCGTAGGCTTAGGCCTGTGGAATTGTTTATGATACAGAAAGTCATTCTTGCTATTTGAAGTGTATGGACATTTTTCACATCTGTGATCGTTTTGGAGCCAGTGGACTTTTTGATGATGGTGGCAACGGTGCTTTCATTGGGGTGGTTGGATAAAACATTATCTCCGGGTTTGCTTTAAAATCTTTTAGGTGAAGATTAAGATGTTGGCTTAACAGACGATTGCTACTTACATAGTAAGGACAATGCTTGCATTTTACTTGTTTTACACCTGGCTGTGGCTTGTGGCATGTCATGTGAAACTTCAGCATTTTGCCTTTGTATGTTTTGTAGGGACATACGTTACAATGGAAATTCTTCTTTCTGGGTGAAGCTGAGGGTGACGATATTGAAGGTGATGGTGAAGAAGAAGGTATAGATGATGTCTGAGGCTTAATACTAGTTCTCACAATCTTCTTTACAATTTGAGCAACATAGTCTTTCCTTCTATGAACCTTTAACAAATGTCTACAAACACATGACCTCCAATTCGAATTAAAGTTGCATACCTTGCAATAATATAATGCAGTTGACATAAAGGACTGTGGGTTGTTCATAGACTGAAGTCCAGTAATGGCCGAAACTTGACCATGTAATGGCATTGAGGACTGGTTCTCATTTACTGGTACACCATCAGGCATAATCGAGTTTCCAGACTGGTCTACACCTGGTCCTTCTTTTATCAGCTTTATGCTGAGTCTACATTGAGCTGAATCATTCATTGGATGCTTACTCTGTATATGCCTCTGAACTGCTGATCTAAAATTTGATGTCCAATTACAATCAGTACACTTGTAAGCTTTTAGATTATGTTTACCAACATGCTTTAGTACATCTACTTTGTCTTCATTGGAATATGCACACATACTGCATTTCCAGATCTTCTTCTCCAGTCCTGCCCAAGCTTCTTTCGGAAGTGGCCCAGCAGGTGTACCAGAAGGAGTTGACCGTGCAGCATGGCTTGCTGTGCTGTTTTTCCTAGGGGAAGTAGTCGAGTCATAACATCGTTTATATGTATACGAGTCTAAAGTTGCTCTAGCAGTCTCCTTGTCCAAAAGAATAACCTTGGCATGAGGGCCGTGACGTCTTGGAATATGTCTCTGTATATCACTTCTGTAGTTAGATCTATAGGCACATCCAGAACATTTGTACTGCTTGAATTGTCCTACTACTGGTGCTCCAGCAAAAGAGTAACTTCCGCCAGGAGGGAGCTTGTCATCACCTGTTGCATTCTCTGCATTTTCTGCCTGCTTTTGTTCATCTCTTGCTTGTACAATTTCAGACACACTTTTTTGCACAAGCCCTTGGTCATCCTGGGTAGGTATCTGTATAGACTTTTTATTTCTCTTCTTGGGTATAGAGTTTGAAACCCTATTTAGTTTTGGTAGCTTGTTATTCATATAGTCCTGAATGCTAGACCGAGCTTCCTCTTCTGTAAGTTCAATAACTCTACCTTCTTGCCCTGGATGTCTTTCTCTTATATGTTTACTTATATCCCACCTCCAGTTGGATCTTCGGCCACATAGGCCACAAACGTAAGGTTTAATGTAACCAACCACTTTCGGTGTTTTACATGCTGTTCTTCCTCCACTTGCATTGGGCACATGGATATCTATTGCTTTGGGCAGCATATTCTGCACTGGAGTTGCTTCAGCCTCTACTGCAGGCTGTTTATCAGATACACCGTGACCGATATTTGATTTTGCTGAATAGACACTTTGAGAACCATCACCAAGATAAATGATTCGGATTTCTTTGTCTGAATGAGCATAGTGGTAATGTTTCTTGACATCACCTTTAGTAGCTCCCCTTTTACCACATTCTGAGCACATAAAAGGTTTGGTTGCATCTTGCGGTCCAAAATTCTCTACAAGATGTGAATACTTGGATGGAGACGTACTGCCTGCAGCAGGTATGTTCAATGATTTTTTCGTATCTGGAATGGGTTTGGATGTTGCAACTTGCTGTGGGGAAACTTGATCTGCAGTCATATATTCATTAAAGACTGGACCTGTCGTACCTAGATCTGGAAGGTTTTCAGATTTCTTAGGACTTGGTCTCTGAATCATCAAAATGTTCCCACTTTCACCAACATTCACATGCATGTATCTCATATGCCTAGCTACAGAAATTCTCTTCTCAGCTGAAAAATCACACAAGGAACATTTAAAGTACTGCTCAGTTACCTCAGCTGCCAAGGTCCTTTCAGGGGTTAAATTCAAATGATGATCGCGTCTAACAACAGGATTGGAATCAATATAAGTTTGAATCGTCTCTTCTGCTTCTTGTTTACCAAGCTTTATCACCTGAGTTACCTGGTCATTATGATCACGTCTAATATGCTTGGCAATATCCCACTTCCAGTTCGCTCTTCGTCCGCAAAGAGGACACATGTAACGCTTCAAATTGGTATGCGTAGCAATGTGGGAATTCATTTTAGATGGGGCATTAGCAATAAAGCCACAGTATTGGCATTTATACATTCCTGCTCCTAGCTCTTTAATTGGAGATGGTGTTGGTGAATGGCCAGATACAGACTTTGTTACATAATCACTCATGTTCACCTCTGGAGATGTTTCATGTGACCGAGATACGTTCATTTTCACTGGTGTCACTTCTCCAGACAGACCATCAGAAGGGAAATTACCGTCCATAGAATCATCAGGTCTATCCTGATTATAGACAGAGTTTTCCTCAACATTGCCAGGTAAAAGTACTGGGGATCTAGCTTTCTTTTTTATGATCACATCATCAATGGCAACACCTTCAACCATTATTTCTGGATGACGCTTGTACACATGTCTTCTTATATCGCCCCTCCAATGTGTCTGGTAGTCACAATTTCCACACTGGAATGTTTTCTCCCCAGTATGCAAACGAGAATGCCGATCAACTTCAGACTTCCAGGCTGACGTATAATTACAGCAAGGACACTTAAATATAGCAGGTGATGTTTTCCTCTTTGCCATAGTTGCAACCTTAACCACTTTAACTTCCCCTGGCTCTTTATTATGGTCTTTCCTGACATGTACATTAAGATCGCCAAGATATTTATACTTCTTGTTACAAAAGTTACACTTGAAGCGTTTCTCTATAGAGTGAACTGAGTAGTGCCGTTTTAAATCACTCATCCATTTTGCTTGGTAGTTGCAATACTTGCATTTTAACTTTTCAGCTGGTATCGGGGAATCATCGGAATCCGTCTTAAAAGACAAGTCTACTGGGGAGTCTCCATCATCAGCTAGGCCACTTTCATTGTTATCCTCATCATCTTCAAATTCACCATCATCTCCAAAGCTTAGTTCGGCCAAACTGCTAGCATTCACTCCTGGCAGAAGTCCACTCTCCGCACAATTCTCAAGATACTCTCTAAGCTTCACGCCATGTTTTCTCTTCATGTGACGGTTAAGATCAGATGATCGTTTGTACTTCAGTTTACAAAGTGGACAAACCAGTCTGCCATTGTCTTTCTCCACATATTGGGTAATATTTGGTGGCAGTTTTCTCTGAGGAGATAGCTCTCTACCTAAGAGACCAGTATAATCAAGGCTTGGTGGTGGTATTGTCGGCCTTGGTACCATGGAAACGCTATCTGACTCCAGAAATGAGGCTTTACTCATCTGAAATAGATAATTAGCACCTGTCTGATCTAGTGGATCAGTAACTGTAGAAACTTTCTGCTGTTTTTCTGAAGTCTTCTGTAATTTTGATGATGAATAGAAGGATTTAGAAGTAATATCCTTCACTGGAGAGGATGCTGAACTTTTACTAGGTGATGTATTAACAGACATAGCTGGTTTCGGGACTGGTAGCTTCAATTTCTTGCTTGGTGGAGATTCAGCTGGTGCTGGTGGAGGAATTGGAGTGTGATTGTTCGACATATGTCTCCTTATAACCGTTAAACTCCCACAGCCAAACGTACAAAGTGTGCACTTATATGGAAACGATCCCTTGTGGTTTGACATGTGTCGATCATAGTTTGGTCTGAAATCAGTGGAGTAAGTGCATTCATCACATTTGAACTGATGCTCATTTCTGTGTGTTAGCCGATGAGAAATAAAGTCTGTTCTCTCGAATGTAATATAATCACAGTGTGAACATGTGAAGGATTTTGTATCAACGTGCCAAGAGACTGCATGTTTTGCTACCTGTTGCCTGTCTTCATTGACATATGTACATTCTTTGCATTTATATGTCACACTGCCATCTCCATGAACAATCTCTTCAACTACCCTTGACAGTCGATCTGTCACTTGAGGACTTGATATACTTTCTGATGAAGCCGGAGCAATGGAGTCATCATGAACTTCTGTTTCAATGTTTGTCGCTACAGCTGCACTTGTCTGTGGTCTATTAAACTTTACCATTAATTTCCTTTTGCCAGCCCCATGTTTGGACATTAGAACCTTCTTACTTCCTCCAATTGATTTAGACTTGATCTGAATGGATTTCTTTGCCTTAGCAGGCCATGCCGGGGGATTACCAACATATTCTGCTGGAAAGTTTTGCATACTAGGCGTTGTTATATCAACACTGTGTGCATTCTTCATATGTCTGAGAACTTTGTGTCTGAACCCAGAGCTATATTCACAGTACTCACATGTGAATATATTCATTTTGGCTTTATGTGTCTCCACTTGGTGGTACAGGAATTTACGGGAACTCCTGCAAACAAACTGACATTTTGTGCAATGATATATTCGCTTTTTGGCTGGCTCGGCTTTACCAGTGGTAGCTATAAATTCTGTACTGTGAAGAGATTCACTTTCCACTAAACTGCTGGATTCAGAGATAGCTTTATCAGACATAGCATCTACTTCCATCTTTGACGAGTCATCAGTATCTTCAAATGGCATGCTAGGCCCTGAAATATCAATTTTACGACTATATTATCAGTTTAAGCATCTAATTACTTTCAATCCTTTTATGGAACATGGTGACAACACCTGCTTTATCAGTTAATATATTGTAAAACTGTACAAACTTATCTCTAAGAATAAGAAAATGTTAAGAGGGGAAAAAATTCAAACTGACTAAATAAAGTGTATGACCACCTTCACAAGTGTTGCTGTACAGCATGATATACGCCTATTCCCTACAAGAGTAGCTTTCTTAGAAAGATATCAAAGTGTGTATATTTCTACTGCTTTACTAATGGGCTATTTTTTAATATTTTTTCCATTCTTATTTTTTTATAATTAACATAGATTGCAAGTGATTGCCATTAGCAATGTGTAAATTACTATCTTTGTTCTCACAATATTTTACTTTTAAATACATTTTAAATTTTCTTATTAATCTGGAGGCATGCTCCTTTAAAACTTTTTCAATAAAATCAAACTTGAGAAAAATGTACTAAGATGTAAGGAGAAGTAAAATGTTTCAAGATTCAAGTAATATTTTACATATTATGTGCGATTAATGACTGATTTTTCAGTATTTACAACTATATTTCTACTGTGTTACTAACGCAGTAAAGGCTATTTATGCATTTTTTGACCATTTATGGTAATTAATGTGGTTTGTAAATGCCATTGACAACGTGTTAATTGATTCCATTTGGTTACTTTACAATATTACACATTCAAATACATTTTCAAAATTTTCATGAAATTGAGCATAAATCTGGAGGCGTGATGCTTTAAACTTTGCATTGTCTTATAATATAACAGAAACAGTTGGATGTGATTGAACTTGTTTTTTTAAGCTATTTAATCTCAGCTTAAACAATCATCTACAAATTCAAACCAAGACAACCCCATGATACAATTTCAGTTATTAGAAGAAACAAAATGGTTATATAAGTAGTAAGTAATTGCTGCACCTGGTTCAGTTCCATCCAATTGTTCACTTGGCTCCTCTATTGAGCTATCTAGGTAGTTGGCATCACTACCATCAGCTGGATCATTCTTGGAACCTTTACGACGACCCCCTCCTCTATTTACTATGCCATGATCTCTGCGGCATCTACAGGTACAAAAACACACATCTATCAAATATGCAAATCCCAATTATGTAACTTTTTAGTTAACTTACCATGTTTCTTTTTGATTGATAGTATAATGCCATTTCTCCAATTCTTATTATTTTAACCTTTTCAGCAATTTTCTACTTAACTCTAGAAAGGCTACCTGTTGGAAACCTAAGTACCCATACTACTGGTAAAGAGCCTGACGAATATGCACATCTATGTAATCCGACCAGGCTGTATACTGCTGGAAGCTTAAATTTGTACATTTTGATATTGAATTTCCATAAAGTTTTAATGAACTGTTTCAAATTCATAGGCGGCAAAAATCAATTACACAAATTAAGCATAGTTAAAGTTAAAATCATTATTATATTGGCAAAATTTTTGAAAAAGCACAATAAAAGCTACCAAAAAATTAAGTGCATGGCTGCATATTAAAATGGCAGGCTAAGATCTGTTATCTAGCTATTCTACTCAAATTTTAAATTCAATTTTCTAAGTTAAATACATACATGTACAACTTAAAAGACATTTTAGACGAGACCTATTCACAGAAGTAATAACTATTGATTTTAATTAATAATTTATATGAAGGTTGGAAAATTGATTTTCTTGATAGACATGTATTGCTATGAAAAGAGGGAAGCAACATTAAGGGAAAGAAAATAGTCTACAGAATGTGTACCTACATATTACAAATGAAATTTCTGTTTCACACTTCGTCTTACCTGACTTTATGCCTCTTCAAAAAGAAAGCATTTTTGGTGGTGTAATCACATAAATCACACTTGCGAATCATTCTGATTTCATCGAGAGCTATAGTTGACTATTTCACAACTTCACCACAATGCAATTACCATCATTCAAATCAAACTTTTCTGTCTCTGGAAACAAATAAAAACCCATATTTACTAAATTTTTAGTGTATTGAATGCAAACAAAAAAAAGAAAAACACTTAAGTCCTCCATTTAGGCTTTATTATTATGCAAGTATTTATATGTGAAATGAAAATTTAATGTGTATATGACTGTTAAGGTTAATATTTTACCCTATTTAAGAGAATTTTGTGTCATGCTTTATAAAGTTATTAATCTAGCATTGTCACAAATTCATTATGAAGGCAGGTAACCATATATTATTCAAGCTTATTGTGACCAGGTGGGCTCCAGATCAAAAGCATGAAACTGACTAAAATTTTGGGACAACAAAACCTTCATTTTAACAAATAACAAAATATTAGAAAATAACTACTAAGCAAGTTCTTTCTCTAACTTCATATATATTTTAAAATGTATATTAATTATATTTTTCAGAAAAAAAAATCAAATTTGTAAACTTAATATCTAAAAAAATTAATTCATTTCCTAGAGTAATAATTAATGACAATTGAAATGGATATATGAAATATAAATAAACTTGGATTTAAATTACATTATACCATGAAAAAATTTGCGAACGGTATATACTTCTTTGTATGTATACATTTGTACTTCAATTTGATTTTGTGTAAAGGAAGCAGACCATAAACTTTATAAAAATTAGAAAGTGAAAGCAATGTGTATGTCTTATAAAAGTTTTCCTAAAAACAGTAAAAATGTCATCTATAGCATGATAAAAATCATAATTCATTAATATTAATTGTACATGATAATCACTATTAACAAGCAACTTTAAATATCCTGTTTCTCAATAATGATTAACAATATGCAATGAAAATTGCAAACAGTTTTTTTAAATTTAATTCTATATAATTCAGGTTGGACATTAAACTTTGTGTGCACCAAAAAAAAATACAAACACAAATGCAGTAATATGTTACTAATAATCTTACGGAAATTAATCACTTCTAAATCAGGCAATTAACTGTTAAAAGTGAAATTGTCCAAATTATATTTAACATTTCAACAAATCAGTTTCCAAAATTTGTTTGGAAACCCAAATAATCATTTCCATATACCGCTGTATTATCAAACACTCCTTTTCCTTTTTTTACTTGCAGGATTGCCCCCCTCATGAACCCCTCCTAGCAATCAGTTAAAAGTTCAGCAACTCGGAAAACAGCCTAGCTGGGCCAACTGAGATGGCCGCTGCAATATTAGTCCCAGTTTACAAGAAATATCGTAAATAAAATGATTAATTAAAAGTTTGTTACAATCTTGTGCATGAATAACCGGAACTTTGGATTTACGTGGATCTATTAAAGTTCCTCCTTCCAGAAAGACGAACTTTGGCCGCCATGTTTCCGCGAAAAGCAGAATCGTGCGGTTGCCCACGCCGCAAAGATTCCAGTTTTACAGGCTTTAAAGACAATGAATTCAATAAAATTGCATTTAAGACGATAAAAGAAACATTTGTTCAAGTGACTGTAGAAAATAAGAAGAAAAACTTACGACTATCTATATGAAATCTGAAGAACAGTTTTGGTCACGCAAGCTCTCCCATTCTTGCCCGTAATCGGCAAACACAATAGACTATGAATATGCATGATTGTACTTCATGACGTCACGCGCACATGTCAATCAAACTACTTTGAAAGGATAGAGCATAAGCAGTCGCTTTTCACCTGGCATTCATTAAAGTGTATTATATTATATTTAAACACAATTTAAGCTTATCGATATAAAGATTTATGTCTTCAAATGTTACAATCTTTGTATTGAAGTCTGTATACCATATTAAAAACTTTAAGATTATGCAGTATTTAGTCTTGTAAGAACTATCCTTTTTTATGAGACCTGAAGTAGAATGTAAGTCTCACTGAACTATTACTGAAGTGGTTTGAACTGCGTTACAACTGATTAATTGACGTGTAATATTACTCAAAATAAAGAAATTTTATTATTTTTAAATACATTTAACTCATAGAGGATATTGAATGAGTGTAGGTTCAATACTATAAATTTATTGAATGGTAAAATCATAAATATGCTAGCCTCCGATGAACAAAATATTGACTTGGGTAGTATAAGAGTTGCATATATAGCCACAAACAAGCAGTCTTATGTTGGCGTGCTAACTTATTATCGCAATTATGAAAAATTACATCGGTGAATTTAATAAAACCATATATACTTAATGACTATGGAATCTTACGCCAGTATGCACATATAATATTTTTCTTATTTACGGACAAAGGGTTAGGGTTAGGGTTAGAATGAATAATTCTTTGTATTGCGTATTTAAATATGATAAAATTAAATTATTATTTGTAATAAATGTTCAATCAAAGCATCATATGAAACTATAACGCACCTTTTTTGGCGACGCCGGTGAGCGGCGTCGTCTATTATGGAATGCTTTTTATTTTTGCCTATGGAAGGAGCTGTTATTATTAGCAGTTAATTTCATGTTGTGTTAATTAGTTTTATTTTGATTCGTAAAAATCAAGTAAACAAATGTGTTGTTATATTTGTATTTAATAACTTTATGTAAAAAGCATGTGCATTGTGATATTATTTTCACGAAATTGCAGGTTAAGTTTAACAGCTTGTCCCTTAGTTTTATTGACAATACTAAAACCCGGATTTCGAATATCGTTGTGGTCTAGATTGAGGCCGTATCAGTTCATTCATTCATTTATACATTTTCAAAATTTTCCTACAAGAAGAAAGTTCACCTGCAATTGAGTATAAGGATAGGTAATGGAACTGTTGTAAACGATTATCCTATTGATTTTATCCTTATTACATTTATCTGTTGCGCAGAATGGTTGTTTTTACAAAGTGTACCAGTATCCGGATGTTGAAAGCTATCCGATTTTCAGCAATTACTGCTGTCACATGGCCATCTATTTTTTATGAATACTTTACCATTAATTTGCATGGCTTAATGAAACTGAGCATGCAGCATTTCATAATTTTGCTGTTTCGGGTGTTCTTTTGGGTTTCAGGTTTTCTCTATTTTAAGGGGAAGTAACTCATGTTTACTAAATTATTTGTTGTTTTCTGTCTACCTTAGGTATTACTTATAATACTATTTTTGTTGTATATAATTCACCAGTTGTAAGGTCATCAAAAGCATGTTAATGTTAATGTTAGGATTTCATATTTATTTAATATAAACTGGGAATTATTAATGTTATGTGCATACATGTATATCTTAGACTGTAGTATATTGATATGTTGAGACTTATAATTTTTCTGCATTTAAAGAGATACAGTTATGTCATTATTATTAAAGGGATGAGACTTTCATTTAAAGTTATAAATGATAAAACATGTATTGATTGAAAATGTCCTTAAACTTGGATCAAGCAATATAATTAATAAAGTCTCAAAAAATCATATTCTGAATAGTTATTCTATTTTTTTTCTAACATGTGCATAGTTTGAAAAGGACAGCTTCTGTCTTATCTATTTGTAATGAAGGGACACCGGTCTCAACCTCCAGGTCTCCTGAGTCAACCCGACAACAGACTGTACATAGAGTAGATTGTTACTTGCCCTTGAATAAATTTGTGCACTAAATTTATAGTGGGTAATTTGTGCCACATGAAAACCAACATAGTACAAAAAGTAACCGGGCGCCAGATGAAAACATGAAAATACAATCTACCACAAAGTGGTTTGTTTGTTGCATTTTCATGTTTTTGCCCGGTGCCCTTGATGCAAAATACAAATCAGCCTTCATAAAATTTCTTATGTTGGTCACAGGTTTGAGTTCTGGTCAAAATCAAAGTTTTTCTCAATCTGTGACTGCATATAAGCATGAGTTCAATTTCCTATGCTCTGTAACATAAGAAATTCACGGACACAAATCGATATAGTGGGGAAATATGTTGTGGTTTAGAACTGTTTCATTATTAAAGAGAAAATGTGTAGCCGGCCGGATAGCTCAGTTGGTCTTCTGAAAGTCATGGGTTCGAGTCATGGTCAGGCAGTTTCAGTCAGGGTTTAGAAGTGGTTTTTCAATTGACACATGTTTGATTCATTTAACAGATTGCATTATTTGAAATGGACAAAGGCAGTATTGCATGATACTTTTAGATCTACAAAAGGCATTTGATACAGTTGAACACACTATACTGCACATGAAGAAGTTGTTTTTCTTCTTCTTCATGAAACTTCAAGCATCTGCCATATATAATGACATTCTTACATGGTTTAAGTCTTATCTCTGATAGACCGCAGCTGTTGGATGTGGCTGGTACTCATTCTACTACTGCTCTGAGTACCTATGGTGTCCCCCTGATGTTCATTTAAGGTCCTCTTTTATGTCTAATATATGTCAATGACATGTCTTCAACCCTAAGCAATATTAGCTTTTATTATAATGCACAGGCACGAGTATCAGACATGGGAAGAAAAAATATGGCCAGATTGATAAAAAACCTGTGTTCATCTTAAAAGTGTCAACAACCAAAATAAAATGTAAATAATGACCCCCTTTAAAAATATACTTCAAGTTGTTAGTATATTTTTAAAGGGGATCATTATTTACATTTTTTTTCTGGTTTTTATAAACACAGATTTTTTTATCAATCTGGTCATCTGGTCATATTTTTTCTTCCCAGGTCCTATACTCGTGCCTGTGATTATATGCTGATGACTCAGGAATCCTTGTGTCTCGTAAAATAAATCTGAAGAAATTCTTTCTTATAGCATGAGTCTTATAAGATTGCTTAATTGACTATAAATTGTCTTTGCATCTTGGCAAGACAGAGTCTGTTCTTTTTTGGTTTAAGTTTCAACTTAAACTGGCCCTAGCCTCCAGGTCACATGTAATGGTACTGCTATAAAGTACACATCTTTTGTTAAGTATTTAGGTGCAAATCTGGATCAAATTATTTTGGCGTCGCCCTTTGATGCTTTGCATCAATGCTTTTCTTGTACAGATATGTCAAAGTCCCAATCCAAAATGAAAGTAAAATGGCGCAGCAGATTGTTTTCAAATGGAGTATTATTTTTTTCTTTTGCGTTACTTATGCAATAAGGGCTATTTTTGCATATTTTTCCCGTTATTTTTTTTTTGTAATTTACAAAGAATGCAAGTGCCATTAGCAATGTGTAAATTAAAATCTTTGTTCTCAAAATATTTTACTTTTAAATACATTTGAAAATTTTTCATTAATCTTGAGGCATACTCCTTTAAACTTTGCATTGTCTTATAATATAACAGAAATAGTTGGATGTGATTGAGCTTATTTTTTTGGCTATTTCATCTCAACTTAAACAATGATCATCTAACATGAAAACCTCGGACCAATGAAAATGCTCCATACAAAAGCAAAGGGAAACAAATCTGCTGTGCCACTTTACTTTAATTTTGGATTGAGAATTTAACATATAGGAAAAATGTGCGTTATAGTTTCATATTATGCTTTGATTGCATAATTATTACAAATAATAATTTTATTTTATCATTCTTAAATACGCAATACAAAGAAATATTTATTCACTGTGAATTTAGTGTGTTTTACTCGTGAGAGTTATACAGAAACAGTGCAATCAGATCTCTTTCGAGTTTCATTTGTTGACAGTTTGGGCTTGAATATTACTTGCTACGTATAATCAGCGAAGGTGTCAGTGTTGTTTCCTTAAAAAGTATTTATTTATCTAAGATTTGACACCAGGTTTGTTAAGATCGGTGAAAAATTGATGAATATATGCGCTGATAATTGAGATGCTATTGATATTTCTATGCAAAATGAAAGTAGAGTAAAATACCTTTATAATTTTTTAGAGTCATCAATTTTTTTTTTCATAAAATTTATTTTTGTCAATGGACGATGTTTAAGGATTTTGGGCTGTAGAGGGGGAACGGGGGTATAGTGTAAGTCATGGCCACGCGACGTTCACCTGTGGTGGAAACGCGATGGTACGATGTAACATCGTTTTTTCACCATCGTGCTATCGCGCCATCGCGATTTCACCATCGTACCATCGTGTTTTCACGATCGTGTCATCGCGTTTTCATCATCGTACCATTGTGCATCGCGGGTATAGACTAAATAAAAAATCACGATTGTCCAAACGGAACACCGTACTTTTCACAAGGAATTGCGGCGAATGTGCCCGATTGGACAAAGAGATATGCGGCGCTTTTCTTGCACGTTATAATATGTCCCAGAATATGTGGCTTTATAGGTAGAAGCAGAAATAATTTCGCAATCTACGAGAAATTGTCCTTAAATTTATGCACTTGATGTGGCGATTTAATTTGGTTTCCATTCTCTGACTACCGTATAAGCAGAATTAGTTTTTGAACATTCGCAAACTTGATTATTTTAAAATCACAACGTGAAA